CTCGCTTTATCTACTCCTGATTCCTCTTGCTTCGCTGCCGGCACCACTCCATCCCTAATTTAACACCTGTCCATCGGGTTACTCCTCAATTTGCATACATAACTGCCTTTACTCCTTCACCACTTCAACTCCCCTTAATTGACCTCCTATGTTGCCGTCTCTGTTTCTCCGCCACTGCGGCATCGAAGGCAAGTGAGAAGCAACATCGATTCCCGGCCAGCAACGGTGGCTCGCATCTTTGCTCCAGTAGATTGATCGAGACAGACTATAATCTCCTGACTCCTGACCCTTCAATTGATTCTAAAGCCGCGGAAATAGAGTTGTCGGTGGGAGGAAATATTGGTCTTCTTCCCTGCCAATTTCATCAAATCACCCAAAAATTCGCGCTCTCGATTCTATAATCCGCGCTCCAGTAATATTAAATTCGTGAATTTTGGACGTTTTATAAATAATTCGGGTTTTCGCGATCTAGCGTGGGAGCGCCGGGTGTGTGTGCACGAACTGTGTAACCTAAGTCTCACTAACGACCACTACGATGACCACCATGTTGTTCCACTAGATGGTCGCCAGTACCATACCTCGGTACCCGCCTGTTCTGTGGAGGCCTACCATCATCATGCTGGGGATGATCTCCCTCCACTGTATCATCCTGTTCCTGTGTACCAAACATCTCATTTAGGGGTGGGCATCCGGTTCGGTAAACCCAAACCGAAACCGAACTTGACCGAACCAAAACCGAAGTAATGTTATTCGGTTCGGAATTCGGAAGACATAACCCTATATTTCGGAAACCAGGGTTTGCTCAACCGAACCCGATATTCTGAATTCCGACCGAACAAACCTAAATTCCTCACCCTCTCACACACAGCCCACAATTACAAGCCCACAGCCCAAGCCCACTTTCTCTAACACTAAAACCCTAGCCAAGTCCAAAATCCTCTTCGTCTTTCCATCTTCCTGCCTCGTTGATGTCGCCATCCCCTGCTGTTAATATACCGCCGTCGACAGCGGCCTTTGGCCCACCACCGGAGTCCAACACCTTTTCCTCTTTTCGTTCTCATCTCATCGCCGACCATTGAAACTGAGAAAACCAACCAAAAATAAAATCACAGATTAGCAAAAGCATACCAAAAATCCGAATTAAACAAAATACAAACAAAAACAGAATTGTTTTACCAAGAGGGATCCAGATCCCAGATCTACGGCACTATGCGATGGCGGAGGCACCCTATCCAGATTTGCGATGGCGGAGGCACCCTATCCGGGTTTGAGCCTTGAAATCGGACCGAACCAAAATATAATTCGGTTCGGATGAACCGTATGGAATTATATTTCGGTTCGAATTCGGTTTGCTGTATGGAAAATTTCGGGGACCCGACATTCATGATTTCGGTTCGGTCGAAACCGAACTGGCCGAATGCTTACCCCTAATCTCATCCACCTGAGAGCGAATCTACTCATCTAGTGCACCGCCACCAAATGCTCTCGCTCGAAGCTGTTGCTCATAAGACCATATTGATGCCCGAAAAGTCTGATCACCATCTAGACGGTCCCACTCGTCTGAGTCCATGTCTGGTATAGTATCACTACCTGATGTCATGTATCCGCCTTCCATTGTAGCATGCTGCGGTGTATGAAAGCTATCTTCCGGTGGCTGAAATTGCACATCCGAACTGGTGCTTGCCTGAAATCTCGCATAAGCGCCCGACTGAAACTACTGCTGATAAGGAGGGTGGAACTGGAAGGTCAAAGTAGGTCTAACTAGCTGCACTCGCTGACGATCTTAAATCCTCACTGGACGAGGTACGTCACGCTGCTCACGTCGCTGTCTACGGCTCCTGGGCTCCTGCGTGAACTATGGTGGTGGCACGCCCAAGGCTGATGGTTGAACCCTACGCTCTGGCCAAATGTCTAGGTCGTGCTCATCAATAGGATACCGCTGTATAGGTTTTGTAGGATCGAGATGTCGGCGCTCACTGAAACCTAAAGTTGTAACCCATGTTGCCAACATGTAAGCAAACTCCTCCATCCGGTCGGTGGACATCCCTCCATCTCTAGCTCCATCATGTAAACTCAACTCAGCGTACTCCATGTTGTCGTACTGAAAATTAAATTTAAAATATCATAAATTCTACACATCTAAAAACAATTAAAACACAAATATGAATTAATAAAAAACTAACCGCTGCGTTCATTGCAGCTCCTCTTCGTGTGCCTAAACGTCTAGTAACATCTCGATACCACTCTAGATGCTGTGGTAGGCTAAATGGGTGTCACTGTAGCTCATACGCACGATGAACTCATGTCGACGGTTCCACAAATCAACCGACTCGCTGGCTGCTTGTATTAACTGCTGCCCACGTGATGGCCCATATTGGCCCTAGCGAAGGAAAAACCTAATCTCAGTCGCGACATGTGGCTGATGAGGCCGGTCCTGCATCATGCCAAACTGTTGGAGCTTCTGCTAAAAGCTGTTTTGAAAATACAAGATTATCCTTACCATATTTTAATTTTATTTCAGAAAATAATTTTCCTTCATTTATATCATTTTAAAAATAAAATAAAATATAAAATTATATTATTTAATATAAAAGAAATCTAAAGAGATCTATTTTGACTACTTTTTATTGTTTTGAATTTTTATTCATATTTTATATTATAAGTTCTTTATAGTCATTTTACACAACCACTCATATTAAAAAGCACTTCTAATAGTTTTACACCCAAACACCAAACTCTTTTTTTGGAAAGTGCTTATCTAAAAGCTCCAACCAGAAGCTGCTTCTGCAAAAGCTACAGCAGGGCCAAACTAAGCTAATATTACTAACAAAATTGATAACTGAAAGTTAACATTTGGCCAATTATTAGTAATCCAATAGGTTTGTTTAATAAAAAAGGGGTTAATTGCATGGTTGGTCACTGAGATTACACAAAATGTTCAATTTTGGTCACTCAAAATATTTAAATCCATTGGTGGTACTTCAGTTTATTGAAACCGTTCACGTTTGGTCACTCTCCGTCCAACTCCGTTAACTTTTGCTTACATGACGGTCAACTCTAAAAGTTGACCGTTAAATGTGTGACGTGGCAATTTAAAAATAGTAAAAATAAGAAAATTAAATTTTTTAAAATTGACATCTCATTTCCACCTCATTATCACTTTTATTTAAAATAAATAAAAAACATAATTTCTTCTAATTTCTTTCTCATTTCCACCTCATATTTGCAATAATTGATCATCTTAGCCACTGATTCTATCAATTCGGGCAAATTAGCAAAAGAGGAAAGCTGAGGAGTTGCAGATTAGAGGAAGCAGAGAAGAGAGAAGAGGCTTTCCCTATAATTCCCTACTAAAACCAACCTCTTCCTCTGTTTCTCCCCTTCCCGTTTCACCGTCGAACCTCCGGACTCCCCACCACCCAACCCCCCCTCCAACAGAGATTATGTAAATAATTGGGAAATGAAGCTAGGGGTCTTTGTCTGCGAGAGAGGAAGGAATCAGCCAAGAGAGGCGTGGCGGCGGCCGGCGAGTAGGGTTCTCGATCTTGAAATTTGGGAAGAGATGGCGACGACAACCAAAATCCGTTTGTCAATTATAGCCACCGCGACAAAAATTAGGATCAACGACCGTGCAATAGCGCCATAGATCCGGTCCTTGTTCGGTCCCTACTCAGTGTCGTCGTCACGAATCTTGATCTGGCGGTGGAGCTGCTGCCAAGTGAGTTGCGCCACGGCTGGTGGAGGCGAGGGAGGTTGGCGGCGAGGTCCAGGGCGTCTTAGTAGGAGAGAAAGTGGTGATGGAGGAGGAGGTGAACGTTGGAGGAGAGCTTCGACGGCGGGGAAGGGTCGGAGAGGGAGCGGTGTACTAGTGGGAGGAGTTTCGTCATCAGGGTCTTGAACCACTCGTTGTAATAGTCTTGGAAGAGGACGGTGGTCGGAGTTGATTTCTTGGCTATGGCGGTGGAGGGGGGAATAGGTCGGAGAAGGAAAAATGCAGCATCTCGAGAAGAAGAAGAAAAATTGGAACGAAGGAAATGAGCTTTTCACCTCTGATGAAATTGGGGAGGGGATTCGAATGGGGAAATGGAGAAGGGGCTTTTTAGAATCAGAATTCTTTATTATATGCAGTAGCATATTGTTGTAAAAATAGGTGGAAATTGTAAAATATTATTTTTTATTATTTTTTAACTGTCACGTTACACATTTAACGGTCAATTTTTAGAGTTGACCGCCACGTAAGCAAAAGTTAACGGAGTTGGACGGAGAGTGACCAAACGTGAACGGTTTCAATAAACTAAGTACCACCAATGGATTTAAATATTTCGAATGACCAAACTTGAACTTTTTTGTAATCTCAATGACCAACCATGCAATTAACCCAATAAAAAAGAATCTTAAAAAGATTCGACTAATAAATAGTAATTACCCTTTATCATTCTATCCTATCGACATTACTGTCTAACAAATCGAAGGCCACCGCCATTACATTGTGCGCAGCGAGAGATGCACAAAGTTTTCTCCTTGATCATATCCAATCCATGACCCCATGTCCTTCCTCCGCTAGACCATTGGCCTGGTTAGCTTCCCTGAGAGAGTGATGCAATGAAATATCCCAAACTCGGTTGATTGAAGAGTAACAGATGAGAATAGAACTCCGTAACCGTAACCGTAACCTTGAGAAGATGAACAACAGTTCAGAGAGGGGAGCTTTCAACCAAAATGGTAGAGACACCTTAATCCATTACATTAAACAATACAAATAACCAAGTCACTCCTGCAGCCAGTACAGTAACAGATGAGAAACAAAACACAAGCCACCAACCAAATTTGAACCACCAGCAACTAATCCAAAGGACCTTTCTTGAGTACAAAAACACACACAACGACCAAAAACACAAAACACCTTCAAAACATATTTCAGTTCAATCTCACCGCAATGGTCTTCAAGGAAAGTCTCTGCAGATTCGCTTCAAAACCATCCCAAGGTCCTCAGAAGCTCCTCAATCGTAGCGGTAATCATCATCACCCACCCGATACGACCGATCACGATCGGCAGCATATTGATCGTCATAACGGTCTTGGTCCCCTTCTTGAACATCCATGTCGTCATATTGCTGCCCCCTACCATGATGACGGTCATACTGCTCATATCGTTGTGGGTCATCAATCGAACGCTTATGCCCCCCTTGTTCAGATTGATCGTACAACCCAGGATCGTCCTCTCCATCGACACGATCGTAATCACGACGGTCCCTATCATGCTTCGAGCCGACACGGTCATAATCAATATCTCGATCCCGGGAGCGTCCACGAAGGTCATTATCACCACCATCCCTCTCCCTCTCTCTTGTTCGATCGCGGTGGTCCCTACCACCACGATCCCTCTCTCGGTCACCACGACCATGTTCCCGACCTCGATCCCGACGGCCGTCCCTACTATCTCTTTCTCGGTCTCGATCACGGCCTCCTCGCTCTCTCTCCCTCTCCCCCCTATCACGGTCTCTGTGGTGCCTATCCTCCCTGTTGTGGTCACGTTCCCTTGGACGATCATGGGATCTCTCGCGGGATTTCTCTCTTTCCCTCTCCTTCTCCCTCCCTCTCTCCCGCGACTTCTCCCTATAATAGATCACAGTCAGATATCAGCAAAAAATCAGTTTAGAACATAAAACAAGACAGTAAAATTATTAAACAAGATATACACAATTTTCAAATTATTAAACAAGATATACACAACTTTCAATCTTTATTCAATCAAAATTAAACAAGATGAGGTAAACTTACCGTTCAACAGGACGATCATCACGAGCCTTTGGTTCCTCAGATCGTGATGCACCTCCAGGTTGCTGTGCTTCTCTATGAAAAACAAACAAAGCAGATTTTAGTATACATAAAATTTTTCCAACCCAAGAAGGTCAATGTCCATCATAATTAATGAAGCAGGCTATGTCAGAATGGTTTCCAATGACACTGAGTAGATCACTAACTCAGCATGCAAAAGGATTTATCCTTAATTTGGCAAAATAAAGCCTGCAACATTTAACAAGACAACTTGCACCTGGTGCCTATAGTTCACAAAGCTATTCTACATAAACCACAACAAGCATCGTCTCCCAAAGTACCTTGTAGCAACCTCTTCACCACCTACTCTGCTAGTTCCAAGCCCACCACCAAGCCTGCGAGGCCTCCAATTTGGCACAGTTCTACCACGTTCGACATCAACAAGTACCCTTCTACCATCAATCTTTCTCCCATCAGCTTGCTTATATGCAGCTGGCAAATATATAAGCACAAGTCAGAAACCAGGACAGAAGAAGAGTAGAGGATGTTGTACAAGAAAAAGTGAGCTTATACATTTCATATCCCGTGTATGCACATATTCTATGAAAGCATAGCCTCTAGGTTTGTTTGTATCCTTGTCTGTTACAAGTCGGACCTGCAAAGCAAAACAAGAGAATGATACAATGAACAAAGAAAATAAAATGAAGCACCATCATCTATTTTCCATATAGAGTGCCACCTCTATGGAAACTTTTGAACTAGAAAATCCTAAAATGGCACGGCAGACAGGCACTAAGCCTAATTAGCCGTGCTCACCTTCAATGAAAGGCTTCCAATTGCGAGATGCATCACCACCAGTGCTAGAGTTGCAGTAAAACTGATATATCGTGCCATATTTACCATTTCATGGGCAAACAATACTTAACATCCCCTTACCAGGGAGCAATGTTTTAATTGAGGGATAGTAAAATATTTAAAGGACATACCAGAAGAACAACTTCACAATTGCTGACACGTTTTGGTAGCCATAAATGCCATAAGTAAGAGTTTTAGTAGCAGAAATTGTACCATTAAAAGTTCAGATAAAGAGGTAAGGGGTGCTAATACTCCCAACACGTGTTACCAAGAGTAGGAAAAAGAACAGATGTCAGTCTTCTTTTGTTGCACAGGACAAAGGCAAAGTGCGTTAAGCTCTGATCAATTACGATTTTCAGCTTAGCCAGCAGGATGAGTCAACATCTTTGTGTTTGGAATGGCAAGAAAAATGAGGACTAGATCTCCAGAGGAACAAAGTAAACAAACCCCTTACCACAGATCTCCCAATGTGATGAATCTTAGTAGATCATACTACCTAGAAACGGAAATAATCCCCCGCCCCAAGATAATTTCTAAAACCAACTACATCCAAGCAGAGTTATCAAAGGATCAGCTCAAGAAATCCATGTTAATACCAGTGAATAAGCAGTAATACCTTTCCTATTACCTGACTTGCATACTTCACCCGAGTCACTGATGCTAGAAACTAGAAAGAAGATCAACAGTCTTCCATACTATTCAGTACCATAGCACATGCCATAGGTCAAACGGAAGAAACATTTTTCTTTGGCAAAGCATACCTGTGGTTTTACTAAGAATAGTTGTTTCTTGAAAAAGCTTTAGAACTAGAAAAATTAGCATGCCAAAACTTAATTTTTTTAATTGAGCAGAGAGGCAAGGATGAGAAATGAAGACATATAGGAATAAATTGCTTCAAGTTTTGTTAAAGTTTTTAGGATCATTTAAGAGCCTGTTCAGCGAAGGCGAATAACAATATTGTTGAATATCCGCTTACCAAACCTCCTTGCTTATATTCAAAAGTACCTACCCTTTTTATTGGTCCATAGGACTCAAACTCCCTTTTAATTCTACTCTCAGATGTCTCGTAGTTCTGCAAGAAAAAGATTAAGCAACTTAGATAAGACTTAAGAGTCACTATAAACACAAAATAACTGAAAAGCAAGTGAATATAACTAAAGGTAAGACTCACAAGTCTAGCCACGAACAATGTTTTGTATGGATCTCCAGAGACATTCGGGTCGTTCGTTGGATCATCTGGACGAGAGAAAAGGAGTACAAACGTTTTAGAAATCCAAGAATTCTACTCTGTAGCATATAATTTTAAGGAAAAGAAAGAAAGTCTCACAGTTTTTAAACTCTTCAGCAGCATTCTCTGCACCTTTTTCCAATCGTAGCTTGTGGATTCTGGCCTTTCTTTGTGCCTGAAGAGATCATAAATGAAAACAAGAAAATCATGATTGCAAATCTATGGCATGTACAAGAAAGAAGAAACAGAGAATGAGCGAATTCAAAAGACGACACAATTCCGGAAAGGACTTTGGAAAGAAGGGGAAAACATACAGGAGTTTCAGCTTTTTCGACAGGTGGAGCATATTCAGGGTCTCCAGGCTCCGCAAAATTGCTCACAAACTGTGCCATGCCTTTGAAAACAACAAGAAGAGACAAAAACCAAAAACACCAGAGGGATTAGAACCCAACACAGAGCCATGAGCATAAGGGAGGAAATTAAACAATAGCATCAACATATATAAAAAAGAGATACCAGAGTAAGGCGGGCATTTTCTCTTCTCAGGTGGGGGTTTGAAGTCCAATGGAGGACGAGGCTCAAACAGCTTCAAGAGGTTGGCTGTCAACCCAGTTGGGTGGCTTTGCCCAATCTGCAAAAGTAACCACAACATTCAACATCGACTCACCCAGAGTTAAACATCTTAATTACACAAACCTCTATACAGAACCAACAAATACCAGTGTGCAGCACCAGATACAGCTAATTACTAAAAAGATGAGTGAAACCCGCGTGTCCGTCCGCGGGAGGACTTTTACATTTGGCGACATGATAACGATGAAACTCATAACACAGATTGATAATCGCAAGAATAACGATATATCGTGCGTATTGCGGATGTATTCGATCGATAAATTTGATTGCACTAGGCGAGAAATGATGCGAACGCATGCTAATGAGCTTATGAGCATCCTATAATCAATAAACAATCGGATGAAGTAAACGCATAGGCATCAATAGATCACAAATTGGTAATCGAGGGTTGTGCCACGGTCTCAGAGAATGAGGAAACCCTAGCTTTGAAGGGAACGAACCAGTTTGAGCTGGAGAACGTTAGCTCGGTTCTGCGCCTTGGCGGCGCCGCGAACGGCAGTGTTCTGGTTGCGCATGAACGCATCGTTGTTGAAGTCTCCCATGGCGACGGGATGAAAAAGCTAAGCTGGAATTCGTCTTCGTTCGGAGTGGATTTGCCTCGCTTCAGCTTTATCTCCACGAGAATGGCAGAGCAGGAGAAGACGAGAGATTTAGCCGATCGGGGTTTGGCGTCGGAGTCGCGGGATTCGGAGTCGGGTTGAGGGCCACTGACTGGATTTATATATGGGCTTAACTATGTAATGGGCCAAGAAATGCTGTTGTGGTTTAAAAGATCGAACCGGGCTTCAGTTTGGTCCGGGTCAAAATGAATGATTGGAGTTTGATGGGTAGTTTGGATGCGGAAATTTGAAAATGTGAGTCCATTAATAAAACCGTGAGAGTTTGCCTAAATTTTTATGTTTTACAAAACTAAGTAATTAATTTGTGAAAATTGAATGAAGTTCGATGTTTGGATATAGTTTATTTTTGTAGGAATTTCTTTCGAATGAAACGATTTTTTTGGGAATTGATGGTGTGGAATTTGGTGAAATACAAAAATGCTCTCTTTTGTTTATGAAGAGTTGTTAATTGTCGCCCTAACTTTTGGAAAGAGCGTTACAATTTGTAAGGAAGTGGTTAAGATTCATACATGGACATCTCCCAACAACTCAAGTTATTGAGATTAGATGGTTTATAACATGATATCCTCTCTCAACAACTTGAGTTATTGGCACTAGTTGACTTATGACAGGGTATCATAAATGGTTTGTCTTTGAGGTTGCATGTTCAAGTCCTCAAGCCCCCCTATATTAACCGTTGGCTTAAAGCATATGGTATGACGGGCCTGTGCAAACTTCAAACCCAAGAATTGACTTTCGTTTTAAGGGTCGTGTAAGAAAGTGGTTAAGATCAATACATGGACCTCTCCTAACAACTTGAGTTATTTGGACCAATTGATTTATAACATGATATAAATTGCAAATTCAAATTTAAAGTGTGGATGATTTATACCATGTAGCTCCCTGGTTCAGCAGCATAGGAACACAAAGAATTACCCGGTTCAAGCTTCCTTAACTCGATCCGAGACTAGATGTCGTATTGCCAATTGGCACTCTGTAAATGGTACGTTTAATTTGCTATCTCTTTTACTGTTGGTGTACTGTGCATATTGATTCAGTATATATATATATAAGAGACAAACACTGAAGGATATTGCCAATTCCCCACATACGTCGTCCATTTCTTCTTCACCCCCTTTTTTGAAACCCTAGAAATTCAACCCAAAATAGGTTTAGATGTTTGTCATTGAATGCAATATTCTCGTGTCAAAGTTGTTTGTATTTTGAATGGTGTGAATGTGAATGAAGGGGATGATGTCAAGACAATCTCTTTAATAGCACACTAGAATAGAAGTTCGCGCTACGCTACGAGGCGTGAAATTATTGCAACATAAATATTTGTCAAACGACAAACTGCTAACATATTCTTCGTTCTTGAATTAAAAGTACAACACAACTTAAACATTAATGTGAGGGATGCACATAGAGAAGACAATTGGAACCCAAAAGACAAGATTGATGGATAGAGATAAATATAGCATTAGTAGAAGTTGAGAGGCTAAACACCATATGGTACACATGGCAAGGCCTCACGATCAAAAGTGAGTGAAGGGGTAGCTAGTTTAGACTAACAACAGAGCAGTGGTTTAAAAGTTTGTGTGTGCTAGATTGCAGAGATGCGAATGTGTGGTTCATCATAGTGTTGGCTCGCAATGTATATTTCTTGCCATAAATTGTTTGCCGCATCGATCTTTGAGGCATTGTTTTTGCTGCTATTGCAATTTGCAACAACGATTCAAACTCTTTAGGTGCCAGACAAACCAGGGCAATGTTTGTTTCATGGTTCGTAGTGACTTTTAATTTACGACTTCCGGATTCACACTAAGCATGCAATTTGTAGAATAATCTGGTGGAATGTAAAAATATATATATGAGCAAACAAACTACAGTGTACACATCAATACAGAGTACATAGATGAAGATTCTTAACCGCAATTAGCTTCATTAGGGGAAATGAAAATCTAGTTTATAGGGATCAAAATAACATATCGATGCAAAGTGTTTAAAAAAACCTTCATCTTTTTCCATGACCCGCTGGTACCCTCTCATCAGCTGACGATGTCGTCTTACCCTAGCAGCGCTTGCCATTATAGAAAAGGAAGCTCAACGGACCCTCTCCGAAATGGCTTGATACGAGTTAGGTTTGTGGATTAGAGGAAAGGAGAAAGAACATAGGCAAATCACATAGAAAGTGAAAATGTTGTACAATTTCTTACATTACAGGGTGACTCAAGGATCCATGGGTTCGGATGACCCGCCCATGGATCTGAATCACAGTAACCAATTGAAAACAACAGAATAGGGAAACCAATAAGCATCATTAAATGAAAGTGAAAAATTGTGAGCTCTCTGCATAGCAGTTATGGCTTCATCGAGATCCTCCTCTAGTCTTCTTGGTTGGTAGGTAAAATTTAGGGATAAGTTTAGTTCCGTTGGGAATCAGTTACTGCCTTCAGGGGTCCTTGATTCTCCCACTCTTCTTCTTTCAAAACCCGATGGACAAGAGACTTCTTCCTGTTCACTATGCCTCGACAATGGCCATTGTGAATATTTTCCCAAGGATCCTCGAACTTTGTGCTCCATTCGCTCAGTCAGCTAGGCTCCTTAGACATGTCTTTCTAGTTACGAAGGAACAAGGCCGATGGAGTATTGACACACGAGTCATGGTCTACTTTGATCACCATCGTTAGACCTTTGAAGGATCGAGGTCCAACCCTCTTCTCCTATTTTTTTTCTCTCTTGTAATGCAGTTCTTGAGAAGGTGGCCAAGCTTTCCAAAAAAATAGTGTAGATCCATGATTCTATCATACTTGAAGCTGAACCATACCGCCTTATCTCCAAATTGGTATTCGAAGAGTATTGCTATTGGCTCTTCCAGTTCAACTTTGAATCGCGCTCGTATGAACTTCCTCACCCCTTTGCGCTTGATACTTGATCGGTCAATGCAGTTGAGTTGAGTGAAAATGAAACATATATGAGAAACTGCAACAAATCATGAAATTGAACCCCATTATGTAATGGTGGAGAAATCAGTTTTTATCGCCTTCCTCCCCATCCCATTTCTTCAATGCCACCATGGTGTTAGCTAGGGTCCATGATTTTCACTTCCAGACTGCATCTATGCCTACTTCAGTGGGAAACGAGGAGGCCTCCACTTTGTTGAAGTTCCTCCACTTGCTGATGGCAATGTTTCTAGCTTTGTGGAGATTAATGTTGCCATCTGTGATCCACTTCCCAAGAAACATGGCCATCCCCTTCTGTGTTCTCCAATGACTCGAGCCTGGATGTTAATCACCAAGTGGTTTTGACTCCTCTAGTTCCCCTTTGGTTCAGTTTCAATCCCATGGTTGGGAGATAGGGGCTGAGAATTGGAATGACTGGTTTTGTTGATTATGGGAACAATTTATGTTTTTAGATGAACGAGTGGGATTGAAAATGGTGGTATGGGAGAACCCTACTCAAATTTCTTAAATAGTAAAGCCACCAAGGTAGCAATTTGAGGCCATGACCACCAACTGCCACCGCCTGGGACTGTTTGTTAGCTAAAAATGAAACCGAGTGTGTCGGATTGGTTGGTCGGTTATTCGTAATGCTAATTAGATCCGTCCTCTCAAACTCGCTTCCACTTTTCTCTATGCCTTCCCTGGAATCTCACAACACATTGTTTCACATGTTCACAAACATATTGGAGGGGATTGGGGAGCAATGAAAGCATGAATGGCCTAGAATCAAGGCTCGGAGGCTAAGAAAGGAAGAGGCATGGTCGAGAATCTAGGAGGAAGGAAACAACGAGGCGGTGTGTGTCTATGGCTGCTCTTTGACAGGGAAGGAGAACAATGGAAGGGACAAAAAAGGAGAGGATGAGGGTTGAAGATGGTTGATTCGACAATAAAGAAAGGGGAGCGAGGGGTCGCTAGCAACAAATGAAGAGCTTGACGATGGAGTGATGAGATTGAAATCCTAGGGGTTGGAATTAGGGATTTAGAGGTTACAGTTCGTGTTTCTCTGTTTGGTATTAGAATTGGGGGAAAGCAAGAGATGTTGGGTGAGGTCAAGAGGAAGGAGATTGGTGGGATGGGACGACGTCGTTGCCCTTTGTGAGGAGAGGAGGAGTAGTGGGCCAGGCTGTGGGGTGGGTTGCGGGTCGGGGACGGTAGGTGGAGCGATTAGCTTCAGTGCACCGTCTGGTTATCGGTTGCCAACCAAAAAACCGACCTGTTAGCCGACTCTTTTCAAAGTACCAACTGACATCGCAAACCACATCTAATAAATGGTTAGCGATTAGCCGACTAACTGCAAATTTTGAGTTGGTTAACCGACTAACCGACAATCATTTATCACCCCTAATATTAACCATCTTTACTTCATCAGTCGCAGGTATAGTACTATCTATGTGAGTATCGTCACCTTCCTCTAATAGTCTGTTTACCTCATTTCCTCTGATTTTCCATTTTAGGTGGCTACATCCCATCACTTAAATTTGGACATGGTTGTAGAGGTTGATTTAAGTTTAGAGATAGCTTCAAGGAACAGGATGGTGGGTAAGGGTAAAGTATATGATTTACCTGCCATATGTCTCACAATTAAGAAGTTGAAGGTTGATAACCTTTTTTTTATATTAGTGCTCAGCTCCTCTGATTGGTGGTCTTCTCCACCTTCCTCCTTCCTTTGGATAAATGTTGAGTTTAGGTAGGATCTTATTTGATCTCGTGGCTCTCTTTTAAATGGGTTCATCCCTATTCTCTGTCTTATAATCCGCCTATTTGTAGGCTGTAGCTACTAGTTTTTGGGTTAAGCGCCATAACTTCTAGTGTTGAGGCTTAAGTGCTGGTAGAGATTTCCAGATCCTGTACTTCTAGTCACCTTGTCTGAATCACCAGATCTCTTCCTTCATACGTTTGATTTGTTGATAATGCCAGAACAGATCAAGCTATGTTGTTTCTTGATCTTTGATCTTTTGGTGGTTGTAATTATTGAAGATGACTGCATACCGAATGCTCTGATACTGGCAGCTGGAGTTTTGGTTTTCGATTGAGGGCTTTTTCGTAGAGAGAGTCATACTATTATGGTTCTTGTGTTGGTCTACCCATGCCCAACTTTTGTGTGCCAAATCCAACTTATTATGGGTCAAATTAGGTTTGGTTAATTTTATTTTTCGGAAAGACCATACTTTTAGTTTGGGTCTAAATTTGGCTCACATTATTGGGTACCAAAAAGAAAATGAATATCCGATTCTATTGTAGTATTGTCTTTTTTTTTTGTTTTGTTATGAAACAAACAGAAAGGTGGAAACACCAACGCTAAAAGTGTCATTTGGTTGAGGATAGTAAAAGAGATTATCGACATTGTCATTTTCTATGTATAATCATGCAAACTTGGGTCTTGACTCAAATGAGTTGACTCGAATTGGTTGTATTAAGACCCAACCCAAACCTAAACCAATTAAAAATACATATGGATCCATTTAAATCATACCCAATACTCATATGGTAATGACAATTAGGTGAAACTACCCAACGAGTCAATCTGTTGTCATTCCTAGTCATGCTAATTAGCTTTTCTTTTTTCTGGTTAACAAATTGGTCGCAACCTTTTGTTTTTAAGAAAAAGAATTGGTTTTCGATTCCTTTATATTGGAACTGAATTGTTAAGGGGTGTTAGTGAGATTAGGTTAACCAAAATTATTAATCCCTTAACAGTTCAATTTTGATTTTAGGAGGTAATGCTGATTTGCTTTTCAATTTCACTAGTTAATGGTTCGGTTAACTGAACCACCCGAAATCCCTAGTACAAGTATGCATCTATATATTAATAGATTTGTATGCAAATATAATTAAAAGCCCCAAAAGCACAAATGAACTAAACTAAACTTTTAAAACATTAAATTACAATCTCTAGTTTCCTACTACAAGTATGCATATAAAGCTGGATTTGCCCCTCAACTTTCGATCACTCAAATGTTACAAACTCACAAAGATGGTGAATGGTCAATTAATTATGCCCTTACAAAATAAAATAAAATCAAAGAAATGAAAAATTACCCGTTCGTACTATAAATTAAGATCCAGCGCCATATGCTTAACTTTTTTGTTTTTTTCTTCTTCTTCCTCTGTCAGTTTTTTTTCTTTGTTCTTTTCCTTTACTTTGTCCTCATTTTTTCCTACCATTTTTTACATTTGCACAACAAAACAATCAAGAGAGTAAAATGACTTCGATTCAAAGTCTAGCATTCTTTTGCACTTTGTTTAGCAAAGTCTTTCCTTTTCCTCATCTAACATTTTCCTCTGTTGAGCATTGTTTCTTGGTTGTAATTAGTTGTGTTCTTTTTACAAATTGTACTTGCGCAGGGCCGTTGGAGCCATGTCTCGAGAATCACTACTTGATGAAGTTGTCCCATGTTCGCTGCTCTGGAATTCCTGGCTCGATAATGCCACTTGTCGAAACCTTTCCATGTCGGCGTTGTAAGCACTGATGTCATACTCGCCACCGCTACCACCGGCTGCGCCGAAGATGGAACTTTGTCCAGGCCTAATCCCATCACTCAAGTCATCCAGCGATGCGTCTCCTTCCAATGTGTGTACTATCTGTTTGGTTTTCGTTTGATGTTTACGCAGAAAACATGGACGTAAATTGGTTCAGAATGATCTAGTCACCCTAATTTTAGATATAGAGAAAATGTTTCGAAGGTAGTATTCACCTGGCTCATCTTGGGGCGCTTTCTGGCAGAGTGGCGAATGCTGGCAGCGGCACATGCAATCAGCCGTTGCATCTCACCAGTGTTGAAGTTGCCCTCCATTCGAAGATCAACCAACTCATTGAAGTTTCCTTCATCTAGTGCTCGGGTCATGAGGGGTCGAGCCTATTCCCATCAAATGGAACAGTTGAGGAAAATGACACATAATAGACAAAGAGAAACAAAAATACTCCATCTGAGGGGATATAGTTAGTTGATAGGTTAAGTGAACAAACCCAATCCACCAAGCTATCTTCCATGACATTGGTTGGATCCACAGGTCTCTTCCCTGTGATGAGTTCTAAGAGCATGACCCCAAATGAGAACACATCGGATTTCTCCGTTAGCTTCCCACTCGATGCATACTCCGGAGCCAGATACCCGAATGTTCCCATCACTCGTGTTGAAATATGAGTGTGATTGTCGGTAGAGAGCTTGGCCAATCCAAAATCAGCCACCTAAAACAAATAAGAAGGGAGACAAATTTGTTATTTACCCTTAGTTCAATCTTGAATGTTGGCAAGGAATTATTAATCAAACAAGATATACCTTCGCTTCAAAGTTCAAGTCTAGGAGAATGTTGGAAGATTTTATGTCACGATGAATGATCTTCGGGTGGCCTAGCAACAAAGATAAGTAAATGTGATTTACCCGCTTAAATTTTCTCGCAAAATTAGAATGTACCTATAAGGAAAGAAATAATAATGAGTTTTCCCCCTAACTTACAATCTTCATGGAGATAAGCAAGTCCTTTTGCAGAGCCTAATGCTATCTTGAGCCTAGTAGGGAAATCCATAATCGAAACATTCTTTCCTGCACCCCAAAAATATAAACAATCAAATTCTTTCCTGCATTCTAGCCTTAACTCATCCATTATAGAAAACAAAAAAGAAATCAATTACCATGGAGATGATATTCAAGAGTGTCATTAGGAAGGAACTCGTAAACCAACAACCTCTGTTGATTAGTAATTGAGTACCCAACGAGCGACACAAGATGTCGATGATGAACCCGACTGATAATCTCAACCTCCGCCATGAATTCCCTCTCACCCTGCCCACTACCTGATTTCAAGCTCTTCACTGCCACTTCCTTCCCATTAGGTAAAACCCCTTTATGAACATACCCGAACCCTCCTTGTCCCAACAGATTCGACTGTGCAAACCCGCCTGTGGCTGCCTGCAACTCCTCATACGTAAAAGTGCTCTGATTAAACCCAATTGAGATCGTCGGTGGCGGGGGCGGCGGTTGGAGGTTGGAGTAATTGGCACTATTCATGTCCCCACTAGACATCATCGGAGGAGGCCCGCCGCTGTAATTCATCCCCATCGGTGGTTGCGACTGCTGCCATTTTTGAGGCGGCCCGGGGTGCTGACCACTGTTCATATAGTATTGGTCTGGTGGCGGACCCATTGGGTACTCACCGTAATAATGGTGTATGTGTTCTTGTTTATTCTTCTTCTTCTTTCGGCAACAACAAATGCAACAAATTATTATCAATAGGATGAAGAATAGACCCACCCCTGCAGATATTCCCGCAATTAGCTTAATTTGGTCTTGGGTTAGCCCTTTGGTTGCACTATTCCACTGCTCCACTCCCGGCGGTGCTATTGACTTGTTCTCGTGTGATGGCCGACCCGCTCCCGGCGGTGCTACAATCTCGTGAACCTTTGTATCACCATCTCTATTATTGTTGTTCTGGTTATTGTTGTTGTTTTGGTTGTTGTGGTTGTTGTCAACGTTGCCTCCCCCGCTGCCCTCTTCACGACGTTGAGGCGGTGCCGGAGGGGAAACAGAGTTTGGGTTTTCATTCTGTGGGTTTGAGCCCTTTGGTGGAGACGGTGGAGAATTACCCGACGAGTTAGTTGATTCATCGTTGTTGTTTGTCGATCCATCATCTGATTGATTCGGCGGTGAGTTTGTGGTCGACGGAGTTGTAGAAGGGGATCCATTATCATTCGAGCTCGACATTTTTTTATTTATTATTTTCCCCTCTTGTGAAAAGAAGATTTTTTTCTTTATTTTTTTACTTCATGAATCTCCGCCAAAAGGCTTTTTCGCATTTGAAACAACGATGCCAGGAAAATTTCACCCCTCTCCTGTAATCTCCACTCTCTCAATCCCAAGCCCCTGTTGCAAAAAAATAAAATAATCAAATAAAGGAAAGATATACTCATGAATCATGATTCCAACACATGATTATTGGTATAAGTATAAAATCAATTATTATGATCGGTTTCAATAACTCGATGTTACATATTCCTCTTTTTTTTCTTCTTCTTTTAGTTACATTCTTCTTTTCGTATCTTTCTGGTTGGTAACTTATCATTTTTCATTCTCCATCTTCCTTGTGTACTCAAGAGAATAACTATCAATTATTTTCGATCAAACTTTTGCACCCTCACCCGAACATGTTGATTCTTTCTTACCCTGCTTCTTTTAACTCATGATTCCAATATTTCCTGGCATGCGAGCTTTGTCGCCTTCCACCCATCAATCAATCAAATATTTATCTTAATAACTCGAGTTATTGAGAAAGTAAAAAGAATAACAATCTTATACCATCACGATTAAATTAAAAAAATTCAACTCTTTCTAAGGCAAATTACCTGGAGAGGGGGAGAAGAAAAAAGTTGTGATGCAAGTCTTCGGAGAGAGTAGGAAGAAAAGAAAACGGAGGCAAGGTGGTGTTAGCGAAAGAACATAGAGAGACAGTCGTAGAAAGAAAGGGAAGCCCTTCTGGTAGCTCTGTGGTTTCTTTTTTCCTACAAAGTTGGGGCTTCCCCTCCCCTCTTTCTCAACCTCTAAGCTCTTTCAGTTGCTTTGTTTAGAGATCAATTCCAAAAAACACAACAAAACAAACCTCCTTTCTTTCTTACTTTTTTTTTTCTTGGGTCTGTCTTGTTTGATTTTTTGCCTTGTTTACTATTCATGGCTATATGACTATCGTTTCAGTTTTGAGCGTCACCCTGTTTTTTCTACCATTGCTCCCCTCTAACCACGCTTTCTCAATCGCCCGTAACCATTAACAAACTCAACCTCCCATACCTACTTACAAAAATAATTTGATTTATTTATATAAATATTCTAAATAAATTCCTTATACTCTGTGTTATAGAGAATGAGAAACCAGATTCCTTATTTCATTTTGTTGCAGAGCTCAAGCTAGGTTCTCAATTCTCAACGTGCCATATTTCTGCCTCCTCAACCAGACGATCCCATGGACGCCGAAATGGATAAAGTCTCGTCTTCTTCTTCTTCTTCTTCGACTCCTTCAAAAGTGTGTCTGAAAATAACTCCCCCAGCTCTGTGGGTTTTCCACCCTCTGTGACTTTGGGAGGCGGCAACAACAATGGCTATTCTGCAGATTGATCCTTCAGTTCTTGAAACCCTTTTTAAATGTCTGATTATAGAATATGTACGAAATATACTGAGCCTGATTTGATCTCATCAGCCAATCTATTTATTTACAAGGAATGGAATCAAGTCCAAGTACCAAAAACCTTCAAAATTGAAAATGCTCAAACCAAATCAACTATGCATCCATCACAAATTCACAATCAATCCACTTTATGTCCCAAAATGGTGATCGCCCCACCTCTACTAGAAACAGTGATACTCAAACTGTCGAGTCAACAGCCAGTGAAAAAAAATGAAACAATACCAACAGCTATCCGCTAAACCTTCCTAATGCAGAAGTCTGTGCCAGAAAAAAGAAAACCTACAAGCCTCCCCAGGTCGTGTCACCTGAAGCTCTAATCCTTGCCAAAAATCCCTCAAAATTTACACATCCATGTCGTCAGATTCAGAACTCACATAGTCCTCTTGATCTGCAGAGGCAGCACCCTTCACACCCACGAGGCTGTTCACATACGGCAGAAACCTCTCAAACCCATCATCCCTCGCTGTGCCTATCAGCTCCCCATTCTCAGCTTCAACATCATACGCCACAATCTGGGTCCCGAAAACTGCAATCACTACCTTGTCACGGACCAGCGCCAAAACTCGACTACAGTGCTCCCTCGCGCCGTAATCCACACTGATCACACGCTTCAGCTTCATGTCCATATCCCCATAGACTTGAATCACCGCCGCCTGGAGGCCCCCACCTTCTTCTTCTTCTTCTTCTTCTACGTCCAGCTCCCACCGACTAGTAATTGGCAGAAGATAGCACAGCTCTCCATCCATGAATCCCAACGACCCCTGTGGGCCATGGCCGGGTGGCAGAGTGAGGACGCCGCATTCTTCATTCTGCACGTCGAAGGTGAGTACTTTACCACCTCCTGTCTCCCAGTACATAAACCCATTCAAGCACAGCCCGTCCCCAACAATCTCAGGAGAACCCAAATCGCCATCACAGTACATGGCGCCGCAGACCCTCCATTCGCCGGACCTTGAAGAGTAGATCTCAAACGAAACCACCACTAAAGGATCATCATCATCATCATCATCGATGGGTGAGGAGATGGTGGTGACAACAGCACAAACGAGCTGGTAATGTGCCGAGAAGCTGGACGGGGAAGGCTCGAAGGAGAGCCCCAGAGCTGCCTTGGGTCCATGGTACATGATTGGCTCTGGAAGCTTAGTCCATTGCTTGGTGACTGGGTTGCAGATGTAGTAGGACCCTAGATGGCTTCGGCAGCAGACCAAGCCGCCATCAGTGGCTCGGACCTCGACCTTTTCGGGCAGGAAGCTGAGGGATGGAGTTGGAACCCCACAGGAGTGCCGATCAAAGGGTGTGAAGCATGGTTCGTCGCCCGGGAACTGGGAGAAGAGGCCCGAGATTTCGGTGAAGCAAACCGATTGCTTGTGGGCGAAGAGCGGTGCAGATATCCAGTTGTTCCAGTCTTTGGCAACGGCTCTGAATCTGCAGACTGACTTGGCAGGCAGGTATGTGAGCACCTGGTGTTTGATCACATCCTTGATTTGCTCTTGCCATGGTGGAATGCTCACAGCGCATCTCTTCCTTGGAAATTTACGGGTGAGCTTCAGAGCCTGCAAAACAGGTGACAAAAATTCAGATTTCGAAATTGCACGGAATTGATTAACAAAGTCCTGGAGAAGAAATTACCACCGAGTTGGTGTATCTCAAATCGTCGTCGTCGTCATCAGACATCAATTCCTCCTCAGGACTTCCGTCTTCTGCCGCCAGATTTTCTTGGAAATCAACAAGGACGAACCCACAATCCAAATCCTCCATCATGATCCTTTCAGTTTCAGAGCTTTCCATCTTCTCTCGTTTTCTTTTCTCCTGGGTATTCAGTCAGTGTGATCGAAATGAGAAAGAAGTGTTGCAGGAATAGAGAAACGGGGAGAGAAAGAGAGAGATGCGAATTAGGTTTTTACCTTTCCCCCCTCAACCATTCAACAACAATCAATCTCACAGTTCAGGAAACCGGATCGTTTTTTCCTTTCTAGTCGAAGGAAAATTAAAGACCACGGAAAGATAAGGGAAGTTCGTAATCAGAGAAATTAACTCATAGATAATTACCTACACCACTACGCCAAGTCAACAACAAAACCTTTAAACCCCCAACCCAGAGACCCAAGAAGCTAAAAAAGAAGACTTGTGAATCAAGAAAAGCTAAACACGAATCGCCAGAGAAAACAGAGGATGCGGGAAAACCCAAAGCCCCCCCCGGCAACATTCTCCAGCTCAATTTACCCAGAGAAAAATCACAGAGCACGAAGAAAGAAACAAAATCGAAAGAAATCAAATAAAGGAACTAAAGAATATTCAGAATCGACAAGTAGAGACGATAACCACCCAATAATTAAGAGAAACCCGTCCCACAAAACCCTTCAGCACAACAGGATTTTCCGTAACGAAAACCTAATTTCCGAAACCAAAGAACTGGAAGACGAATCAAAAGGTACATTGCAGATAGAACAACGCAGAAGTTAAACGAATAGAGGAGGAGGGAATTGAAAGAGACGCAAGGGAGAGCGAAGAACTGAATTCCGGAAAGCAGAGAGGAGAATAGTAGTCGGAAAAGCTTCTTACGGGAACTCGATCGCCGCCGGGGAAAGAGGGACAGTTGCTGATCGACGGCGGAAGAATCTTAGAGCAGTTTCGGAGCGGCGGAGTTGAGAGAGAGCGAAGCCAACAGAGAGAGTTTTTCCTTTCCTTTTATCTTTTCTTTTAGTGATAGAAGCTGAGGGCCCTACAGGGTTGTTTATATGGGCACGCAGCGGCGTGGACTGGAGGAAGACTTCCGTCGGGAACACGTGGTGAGTTCTTATTGGCGATCCGCCGTTTCAAAGCATAGGGTTTCGTGAAAGTCAAGTTTGTGCCGCGGGTGGAACTCACGCAGCCGAAACTCGCGTGGCTAGCTCAACTTCCGCCGCGAGCTTCTCGGCCGTTTCCCGGAAATGCCATTGCCAAATTTTGAAGTTCCCTCGCCTCGCGTTGCTTTTATCGGAAGGAACCACAGAGAAGTTTTCGGTTGTAATTGCTTTATTATCTTCAATGTCAAGCTGTTGAAGTTATGGCTACAGACTACAGTAGTTCCATATGCGTCGCTTTTTGAGTGTTTAATGTAGAATTTTAACATTGACTTATACCAAGGCAAAATACACTTTAATAATCACAACTCAAGTAAATCGAAATATACAAAATGTTCAATTCTGCCTAATGCATTAACGGTGTCAATTAACAGTCTGACTGGACTAAAGGAATGGGCTTAATTGGCGATGTTTCGTCCCTACCAATTCACGTGGACTAAAAACAAAAACAAAAATATTAAAACATGAAATCCTAAAAAACAGACAAAGATTGTGTTATAGTCTACAATATATAGATAGCTGGATTTTTTTTCTGCACCCCATTCAAATTGTCTTGCGACGAGAGTGAAAGTATGAAAGGTATTTTTGTTTTCACAGTTATCTATTTATTTCTCATTTATTCCTTAAAAAAGAAGTGCATACTAGTATTTGAACCATGGTCATTTTCAACAATGACAAGAATCTTAACCAATCAAGCTACATATATAAGCTGTACCATTTTGAATAAAAAAACATACATGAAACTAACATTAAAAAATAACAGAACTTTTCAACTGTTAGCTAAGATCACTAAAGCTTCGCGCGGTACTTATTGGTGTTTTTATACTTTGTTTTTCATATTTTATTCTTTTAGTAATACTTTGATACTTAATTTAAATTTCTATTTATCTTATAATTTTCTATCTATCTTATAAGGTCACTAAAGTTCTATTTATCATTGGTTTAATACTGCAATATCAAATTTGTAGAAGCGATGTTGAACTCTTACATTATTATTACTTTATAGAACTACCATGAGACAATCATATCCCTATCTTTTTGCAAACAATATGGGGATGGGATCTTTGGACGTTTTAGCTAGGCTAACCATTAAATTCTAAACATCTTCCTAATCTGACAAACATGATTGGATTCAACAATCATTCAACGAGGTTGAGATTAATAAGTTGGTTTATTTCCTCTTTTTTATGTATTAAAATGAATTGTTGAGCAAAGACATGTCTACATATATACACTCTACACAATATATACTACTGACATGATAAAATTGTCGCCCCATTTCAAATTTCCTACAAGGAGAGCAAGAGTATGAATGACATTTTTGTCTTCGCCATTATTTATCTTTATTTTGTACAGAAAATAGACAAGTATTAGGATTTGAACTAATGTATCTTCAAACACAAACAACAAGAGTCATGACCATGATTGTCAATTCGAGTATGACTCTGCTGGTCAAACCAATTCTACCTAAACCTGAGTATCTCAGCGGGTGCCGAAGGCCCAGTTGGTTGTCTACTCGGGCTCGGTCAAAGTCGAGTTTATCTATCTCAACGGGAAATCCGACCGAGTTAACCAACTGATTCGAGCACGGGCCACTTCAAAATGATGTTGTTTTCAACAATTCATATATGTAGCTATGCTGTCATATCATCCTTTTACTTATCACAGAACCCCACAACATGAAGCATCACATACCAGGTTCGACTATCCAATCGTCTTTTCTTCTTGCTTTAGATTCGAGAGCCTACAATACAAGACCAAACCATCTCAAAAGCCATCATAATCCCGCAATAGTAAATTTCATTTTTCTCCAGGTGCACAGTCATAGAGCCGGTCGACCTCATCTCATACAAATAAGAAGCAAAAATTATTAGAGAAACATGCATTTGAGTTAAAACTTTGTGTGACTAACATAGGCCAATTTTCTCATTTTAATTATTGTTTAATACTTAATTAAATTCCTATATATATCTTATAAATAGAGGATAACTTTATAACCACGGTCCAAATATCACTTGTTTGAATATTCCATATCGAATTGCAGGATTGAATATGTAAAAGTGATGCATAATTCTTAAATTAGATCTGCCAATCATATTCATATCTTCGTGTAAACTATATGGGGACTGATTCTTTGAACATTTTAGTTCGCCTAACGGTCAAATTTTAAACTTCTTCCTATTCTGACATGATTGGATCCAACAATCATTAGGAGTTTAATAATTTGGTTCATTTCACCTTTTTTAAATGTGCCAATGAATTTGTAGGGAAATGACATGTCTTTATATACACTCTACACAATATAAAATACTAAAATGAGAATATTGTTGACTCATTTCAAATTTTCTACAACGAGAGTGAAAGTAGAAATGATATTTTTGCTTCACAATTATTTTTCAGAAACTACAAACTTCCAAAACTTAGAAATTGTAGCTCAAACTAAAAAATCAGAGCATCAAAAATCAAAGTTCGCAAATTTTATTTCATATATAAGTTATTTGAGAGATTTTTCTTTCTATAAACAAAGTAAAATGAAACAAGTTATAGCCAAATCAACAGCTTTTGCTCGAACAGGATGGCTCGCTTCTGCGTGGGAGAAAGGAATACATGCGGTGCCATCAAAAATCTGGAGAGCAAAGATGAAAATTGTACACCACAAGTTCTTAAATGGGGACTGTAAAATAGATCATCAAATCACGGGCTTGTGGCCAAATAAAAGGATAAGAGGTTAGTTAGATGACTGATGATATAGAATTTGCCAATTTGGTACATTTACAGGAGATCTCTAGCGTCGGCTTAGGAAACAAAGAGATGAAGGGGAAGAAACGATGCATGGGGGGTGGATAAACGAATTGAGTGCATGAGGGTGGATAAACGATGCATTCATTTCTCTTTTCCTTTAAAAAAAAATAAAACTAAAAACTTCAATAAAAAACAAAAAACAGTATGGTAAACTTTGGTGGGTTTCTATTCAACTTTTGAAGTCTGATCCCTTTTCGGGCTTAATCAGATTATTTAAAACTATTATCCTACTAAAATTATTTTATTTTTATTTTTTCGCTGCATTGTTGTAATATTTTGACTAAAAAATATTAGTAAGTTAAATGATATATTAATTAAAATAATATAATATTCACGCTCTTTCGGCGCACTCAAATTATAATTCTCAAAGAATATACGCTCTTACGCTCCCGTTCTAGCTCCTGCTCTGCTAATTGGTAAGCTAAATCCGTCGAGTCTATTCTGTAGACAAAGAGACTACTATAAGAATTCGCCTTCCATCACATATTGCCTTCCCTCGCAAGCACCCCCACTCTCAATTCTCACTTGGCCATTCCTCAGTAGTTTCACATCTGACACACACCGGCGTCATAGGAGTGCGACCTTCGTCGCGTGATGAATATATGTTGTTGCAGTGCTTTTTAGGAGCTCGAAGGAGGATAGCAGAAAGTAGCAGATAGAGAAACAAATGTATATAGTTCGGATGAGGAAGAATATTATCCATATATAGATGAGATTTTATATAATTTATAAATATATGAACAATATAATGAACCATTAACCCTAAAGGCCTCAACCCACTTAATCGACCAGGCCAACGGGCAAATTAGGGCTGACAACCTTTGATCTTTAAAATCCATATATTCTAAAAAAATTGGTGTTCCAATTTTTATGATTGAGTCAAATCGATCAATAATTGTGGATTTTCAGAGAGTGGTTGAAATTCAAAAGTCGGTCTTCAAGTTTCTTTCGTGACAGACAAGTTTTTGCGTTTAATTATTGTTGGGTCGAATGAAGAGAAAGCGGAACAGATGGAGAATGTGACTGTAGCTATTAATTATTTGGAGTTGCAGATGGAGAAGATAAACCATAAAAGAGGCTAAATTTAATTTGATAATGCTTATATACTATATATTACAAGGACATGTTTGATTTAAAAAATAATAGAGGAATAGATTTGAGAAAAATGGATAACAGAGTAACAATTTATGCTATTAACTCCACATGGAAAAGTCAAAGAGTATATTTGTAGAGTAGAATTTAAGTTTTTATAATGTTTGGATTCTCTTAACTTTGGTACGAACATTAGTATCTAACACTTAACAACCACCACTTATTATTCAAACAAGTCAATACACTAAATCATAATAATTTATACAATAAGCATATTAACTAATTATCGCTAATGTTATAATAAAAAAATACCATAAATATTACTTTAAAATAATGAATTAACTATTTTAGAAAACCTCAAATTAATTTAAAACAATAAAAAATTTGATCAACTTAAAATAAAATTCATCCAACCAACGGGTCGGATAAATATTTTAAATATAATTATAAATTAATCAATGTAAAAGATAAACAAAACTCATTCGGTCATGAATTTTCCCATCTCCTGCTTTCAGGTCAGAGTAACCCTAAAAAACAGGGAAAATAACCAAAAAAATACACAAGGAAGCACAGCCATATGCACCTATTTGAAAGGAAACCCAAGAAACTTCCATCTACAGAGCATTATTGCTAGTTCTCAAGCTTAAGGTTCAAAGCTCCACTCACGGAGTCACAGATACAAGGGAGAGAGAGATTATAGAGAGCCAGAATCACATCTCAACGAGGCTATTAACATAAGGAACCATCCTGGAGCTATAATCAACATCAGCAGCTACCGTCGAGAATCTCCTGGTCCTCATGTTATAGCATACAAGTGCCTTGTCGGCTTTAATCACCACGGTATCTCCGCCAACAAACATCGCGCTAGCTTGATCCAGCCGACTCCCCTCGAAGAGGGAAGAATCGATCACCACTTCGTGTCCCAAGCTCTGGCTCTACTATTCATCTGCATCGTGTTGGTGAAGGTGTTGGACAGTTGAACGACGTTCAGTTGGGGACCAATGACGGAAGCAACAGCGAGCTTCCCGTTCGTATACCCGAGAGCACAGGAAACACCGGAGGGTGGGTACCTGGCCGCGTATGAGTACGAGGACTGGATGGTCGTCCGCTCGCTTGTCAGATTGAACGCTAGGATCCCTCTGGTTGTCGACCCCCAATAGACACTCCCACCAGCGTACACGCCAGAACTCGGCACGAGCTTCCTGTCGCCAAAGCAGATCTCATTGGAGATTCTCCAACTTTTTTCCGCCGAGGAGTATATCTCAAACTCGCAGCCGTCGAGCTCAGAAGGGAATGCACAGATCAGCTTGTAGTCGGCCACAAAGTTGAGCAGCGACGGCTCGAAGGCCATCACGATGGCCGGGTCAGACCCGTGGTCCGCATTGTGTCGAGGGAGCTTGGTCCACTGCTTGGTGACAGGGTTGCAGACGTAGTAGGGTTTCTGGCCGCTTCGGCCCTGGCAGCAGACTAGGCCGTTGGAGGAGCATCGGACAAAGACCGGTTCGGGCAGGAAGCTGAAGGAAGGGTCAGCCACGCCATATGCCATTGGATCAAAGGGCAGGAAAGTGGGTTCGCCCGACGTGGAGCGACAGAAGAAGCCGGACAAGTCGCGGAAGGAGTTGGACTGGCTGTGAGCGAAGAAAGGTGTCGAGATCTGCAACCTCCACTCCCGGCAGACGGATGTGCATCGCCGGAGGGATTTGGCGGGAAGGTACGGAAGGGCTACTTCTCTTATGATGTCCTTAAGATCCATGTAGATCTTGTGGTTCTTGTTGGCAATGAACTTGCCCTGCTTCTTTCCACGATCCATTGCGAAATTCTTCGGATCGAAGTTACCGAAACTGCAAATATCAAGTATTTGACATCAAATAGACGAAATTGGGGGAATGAACCTACCCACCCACTCATCCTACTGATTCAAATAAAAAGCACCATCGACTGATTAAGGGAATGAACAGCCAAATCACTCACTCACCCTACTGATTCATGCAAAAAGAACATCGATTGTAGGAAAATGTGTTTCACTAAGAAGCATTCTGAATGCTGATTCTGAGATTGTTATTCAATTCAACAAAATAAAAGACTAAGCAGTTCGTTGATATTCTGCAAAGTCAGCTACTTTATCATCAATCAGAGCGGCAACACTGAACCATACCGGGTTTACAAGGGAAAGCACATCAACGAACTACGAACTCCGACGGCGATGGTAATGCAGAGAGATTGAACCTGGAAAGATGGTTCGAACGGGGATTCACTGATCCAGACCTCCAAAGAGAACGGGGAAGTCGGGCGAGCGACCAACAGTGAGCTGATCGCCGGCGGGGGCACAGCCGGAGTCGGGAGCCCTAGCGGCGAATTGGAGGAGACGAGCGACAAAGTGGAGGGGTCATGCAACAACGACTGAAGAGTTGAGTGGAGCGCCCGGCGGATCTGAACGGGGCTGCTGGGGTTCAGGCAGCGGCGGAGATCAGGGATTAGAGTCGGAATCAAAAAGAATGAATCTATGTCCATGTGGGGTTTGGGTTTTCGTGAAAATCATGTTAATTTAATATTTGTTGTAAACCTAATTAAAAGGGGAAAAGGATTGAACGATTGATTTAGTTTGGGACTTTGGGCTGTATGTAACCTTTTGGCTCCTGAACTTTTAGGGTATCTCTACTGAAGTCGCTAAAGTTTTTTTGTTTTGTTTCTCTATATGATCCCCCAAAGCCAAAAGTCAAAATCCAAGGTCAATGCGTGTGAAAATATTTTATGAGCTGATTAGTGGCCTAAACGGAAAACAGAATAAAATCAGAGGCGATTATTTGAATTTTCACTAATCCAATTTAATTTGTTCAATAAAAAAAATTAAATTATCCAATTCACATTTAAGATTGGTGGATTTGTTGGAAAATTACAAGTTATTGCCTTTATTTTCAATTTCTTCACTTTAATACCTAAATCTAATTTTAATGGAAACTATTATTCAAAATTATATTTTGCAATCAAATTTTAATAGGTGAAATTTGCATAATGATTCAAAGTTTGGATGCCACTTGAATCTATAAATTCACCAATTCATAAATCTAATTCATTTGCTACATCTAATTAAAATGTGATATGCACACTATACAACACAACAGCATTTCAAGATAAGAAGTGAAGTTAAAAGAAATTAAATCTTGTACAAGATTAAATTCAATATTAGGATAAATATTTATTTACAACACTTTCTCTACAAAACACAAAACGTATTGAATTTTGACGAAACTCTTCGATATCCCTTTGCTTTAGCCACAGTCACACGCGAGACTCCCATCCTAATGCTCCTATTGATGTCATTGGGAGATGTCGTCCAAACACTATAAAGTTTGCACTCGAGATTCTCTTGAAGTATGAGTAGGGACTAGGGGTGACTCTAGGATACACGGGGTGCTTGGGACGCTCTCCAACGATAAAGTTAGAGAGAATGAAAAGGAGAATGAGGATTTGCGAAAGAGGGACTAGTTGAGTCGGTGAAGATTCGAATATTAAATGTTGTATCAGACCACCTAGATACATTTAATCCTAGGATACACGCCTCCGACAACATTTAATCTTCTATCAAGCTGGATCGCGATTCGTGTTCCTCAGGGTGACCTCGCTTCGGGGGTTCGAGATCAGTACCCCTACGATCATTGCTTTCTCTACAATGCTTCCTTGGAGCATTAGCAACAGCCACAACGGCAACAAGATTTAATCAGATTTGCCACTTTCCATCTCCACCAGTGGCATTTTTGCCTCCAGTTTGGTGGTTGCTGCCAACAGCTTTCAGTTCTGCAAACCCTGGTGCCAGCTTAGGTGGCGGCTGAATGATGGGAGAGCCAGCTGAAGAAGACGAGGAAGTAGACCGAAATGGCCAAGTGATTGTACTCATACTTGAAGATGTGGCAGTAGTTGCAAATTGGTTTCCCTTACCAGCACCAACTCCTGCTGAAGTAGTAGCAGTAGCATCTGTATCCATCTTATGCCTATCTAACTTCTCGTCCATAACACGACGACCGGGCGCAGATTCTGAAGGACTACCCTGACCACAGGCTGATTTCTCTCCAGGAGTTGCAAACTGAAGCCATGGCTGCCTGAAAGTATGCCACGCCGGAGATGTACTGTTATTAATCCCCTGTGAGGAATTGCTGCAATTCCCTTCGTTCCCATGTGGCGACATCATCATCACCTCATTCGGTTTGTTCTCTGGCTGTTGCTTGTCTTTCTCCGAGGACATGAATTCAAGTGGCGGCTCGGCTCTAGGCTGCAGCACCGCAGAACGACCTGAAGTAAACGTGGTGGTGGGAAATGCTTTCTCTGGAGGGACTGCTGGAGTGTAGTTGGATGGAAGAAGATCATCCCAGTTCTCCAAGAGCTCCTTGTACACTTTCCGTAGGGTTACCTCAGTAAGTCCAGTGACCTTGCAAATCTCTGCTTGTGTCTTCCGCTTGTCTTCTAATTGGCATGCTAGATATATGGCCGCTGCAGATATGCTAATTGGGTTCCTTCTTGTGCAGAAACACTTGTTGATCACTACTTCTCCTATATGAGTTGCCAGCTCCTAGAAAATTCAAAACCAAGAACGCAACCAATGTAAAAGGGTAACCAACCAAACATCAACCCACATTCTCTGAGTGGAATCGAAGTTGCGAAACCAATTACCTGAGCAGATTTGTTGAGTTGGAGGAGGTTGCAGAATCTGGGCATATGAACAGAGATGGAATTGCTATTAAGGGGCTGGCTAAGCTGCAGAGCTTCTCCTAGTATCTTTATGTATTTCCCAATCTCCTTCTGTGGGACATTGGCAGCAATGGAGATTTCCTGCTCAACACCAATGAAGCTGATTAAATTTCACCACAAAATGCAGGCTATCAAGAACGAAAAGAAAGGAATAACGTTACCTGGAGAGTTCTGGGCTCCTGAGCCTCGCGAATGGCCTGAACAAGGGCGGCGGTGGCAAGGGCTTCAACGCTGCGGTTTCTCAAACAAGTAGCAGAGCAACAATCCCTAAAAAGCTGGAACGCGTGATCGGAGATATCGGAATCCAACCCTAGAATCGAAGCTACGTCGATAATCTGCATATACGCTCTCAAATTGTCAACCACGACAGTCGACGAGTTAGAATTCGAATTCGACGATGCAGGCGGAAGCGGCGGCGGCGGCGCGGCGGAGGAGGAGCCGGTGGTCAATTCGAGGATCCGCTCGAGCTCGGCGAGGTGGCCGGAGAAGGAGAGAGAAGAGCGGAGGGAGATCGGGGTGGGCTCCAGAGACCAGGTGGAGAAGGCGGTGATGAATCCCGTCGGCTCGAACGGATCCTCTTCTGCTTCTCCTATTTCGTCCCCTTGCTCCGCCGCCTGGTCGACGCAGGGAAGGTCGGAGGTGACGAGGCAGAGAGGATTGTCTTGAGCTCGAACGTGGAAGAGATGATGCGGTTGAAACTGACGCTCTTCCACCACGCGGCCGCACGATGTGCACTCGGTGATTGATCGGCCGGTCGAGGTCGTTGAGCACCGGCCCTGCGCCGATGAGCAGTATGTGCACTTCATCTTTTCGAAGGGAGCTGCGAATGAAAGTGGGACAACTCTGCCTCTAGAGTCTAGTCCGACTGTCCGACCACTGCGGGATTTATACTTCACCTTTTCTCAAGAAAATTTTAGCAATAAATAACTACCAATAGATAAAATAAAACGGAGAGCAAATTAGCAAGAATGAATTCTGCTATTCTGAAATTCCACACAAATTCCATATCCTTTCTACAACCAGTATCAAACACTTGAAACAGAATAGTAATCCATTCCCTCTGGGGGATTCATATAATAACAAATCTAATATGGTAAAAGAATCAAAATTTCTTACTAAAGTGATTGATCTACTAATCGAGCAACAGTAATATATGTCGTGTTCGATATCCCGAAATATCTCTATATCCATAAGCTTCCTGTAGAATGAGAAGTTGAGAACCTAAATAAGTACATGATCCTTTCATCCGCTGTAAACAGGAGGAAGAACTACTAGTGCGATGCTACTTCACCAACTCCGACAAACTTCTCCTTCATCAGTTCGTTGAAAGAACTCATTCGCTGGTAGAGAAAATAGAAGGGCAAGAAGGTTCATTTCCCCTGAGAAAGAACTGTCGATTCTTTTCTGATCATCGATGGATTCCTTTGGAATTCATTGCAGCAGCTCCACCTTTCGCCATCAGCTTCAGACTCTTGCTTATTTCCCGTGCATTCTGTACAGAACATTCGTTTATTGTTAAGATGCATTGCCTACAGAAAAATTGTGAAGCTTTGTTGCCAAGGTCAAGGGCAAAGCACGGGCAAAATCAATGATGAAAATTTTGAGACTCAGTAGTAGCACTAGACATACTCGGTACCTTAACCAGCGGAATGGCAGTATCATTCATCAGAAAAATAAGTTGAACAGCAACAATTGAGCATTGAGGCTGGAACAATATAGAGCAGATAAAAAAATCCAACACAGTTTTTAGCGATGACCTGAAGAATCTTTTCAACTTAACTATGTTTTATGAGGCAAAGAGTTCCTAAACGGCTAAACCTCTATGCTCTTTGCTTCTGATGCTGGACAAACTAGAGGGTGGTAGATTAACAGAACATCTCAAATTTGAATATAGAGAGCTCATTCCACAATGAAAGCATTCCAGCAAAAAAGAAATCTATACCGAAAACGCCAACATGTTTCAATACAAAATATACAACCATAAGAAAAGAAAGGGGAGTTGACGGCTTTTTAATAGAAAAGAAACCGGCATCACAAGCAAATGCTATTAAATTCAGTTTAGTAGAAACACCATGGAAATGGTAGAAAGTTGACAGCTTTGTTTTGGGTAACATAACATACAAAGGGTTTAAGATTTCACGGCACACAAGAGAAACACAGTTATTCGAGAATATGCACTACATTGGTGAAGGGCAAACTATAAAATCTATGATGGGCATAAGATTTGGGAATGCCCTTGATAGCAACCAACCCAGCTAACACACCGCTCTTTTCTTTTTAGGCAATTGAATCCAAACACCATATCAAGTAAAACCACAAAAGAAAAAAAAAAACAATTAAAGAGAATTGCTGTAGGCTATATCAACCATGAACTCTACCATGCCCTCTAACAGATTTCACATGTCGGCTCTCAAGGGATATGAAGCACTTCCTATCAAGGGTCTCACTTCTATCCTAGCGCAAACTCTCCTTCAATCAAGCAACCAGCTCTCACTTGCTTGCCTGTTCTTAATGCAGCTTCTAAAACATACACGACATGGCAAAAAAACCAAGCTAAACTCTGCAAACGAACGACTGTTCAGCAATACAACAGAGTTACCTTACAGCAAATGTAAGTAACAAAAAGCTGCAACACTGAGAAGCAAGACAGCCGTCTGCTAAATTCCACATCAGACACTACCATTGAAACATATGTCTAACACAATGATTCAGAAGGACCCAGTCAATCAATCCACAAATCCTACCATTGAACAATCATATTATTCTCACACTCATTCTTGACCTATTCAATTTGTAAATCTCCGCAAGAGAATGCTACGCCCCACAAACACCAATTCCATGAATCTAAGACAACTGTAGATAGTTTGATTCAAATGGACATTTCCGAAACAGAGAAATCAGAAATCAAATTAGATAGGTTAACGACGGCATATCACTCACCGTGGATTGAACAGGAGGCGGATCAAGATCAATTGATCGCACAGACATCTTAGCAATCTCGGTGATGGCAGCGTCTCTGACTCCAGGGACGTCGCTGGTCAAGTCCTCGTAGGCCGCTTCGAAAGCCTCCTGCCAGAACCTCGGTAATCTGATCCTACGGCTGTTAGTGTAGACATCCCACATATGCGTCACCACCTTCTCCCTCTCCTCCATTTCCTACAAAATTCCGCCCCAAAAACCCCCTAAATCAGCCGAGATCCAAACCGGAAGAATAAAACAGAGGGGGAATTTTCACTTACAAGGACGTCGAGATCGTCGTGGATAGGCGTGTCGATGTCGTCGGAGAGGCGGTTGAGGTTGCCGGCGGACCACCGGAGGGTGACGGTTCCGGTGAACATGGACCACAATGCCAAGAGCAGAATGGCGGCCAAGGCCCAGAACTTGTACCTGCCTTTCCCGAAGAGAAGCGAATCGGAGGTGTCCTTCTTCAAACTCACCGTCGCCGTCGATGTTGGGAGAGAATCGTCATCCTTCATCTCGATTTTGCTTCGACCCGGATGCTGGGACGATTTCCTCTCGGTCGAATCAAAATCGATCGCAAATGGAAGTGTCAGTAATCGGAGTCTGTCAGATCGATATGGTGGTCTCTCTTTCCCCCCTTTGTTTCCTTTTGGGGTTAGATTGCTTGCAGCGGGGAGGGACGGGACTGTGGAAGGGAAGAGCGAAGCGGGGGAGCTGGGGAAAAAAAAAGGAAGTCGTTAATTATTATTAAAATTTTATTTATGTTCGGCGGTGCGCCGGTGCCAGTCCGTACTTACTGGATTTTAATATTTAATTATTATTGGAGGTGCATGTGGTTTGCGTATCCCAGAGGGAACCTGATGACCGTTGATTTTGATGGGGCCAGTCAACAAGCTCTATACGTTCCAACTTCCTCCGGGCTCCATTCGCCCGAACTTCAAACCGACAAGGAACGACACCACCTGCTTGCGTTTCGATCCCATGGTTCATTAGTTGATTTTCGAATCGGGTAAATTACAAGTTTGGTCAATCGGATTACTAACAAGTTCCACGGTTTGTTATTAAAAATATTTTATTCTATCTTTGGTTACTGAATCATTTCAATCGTTCAAGTTTGGTATTGACTGTTACCTTCCGTTAGTCTCTTTTTACGGTGTAGACTCAACTTTTTTTGTTCGGGTTAAAACATTATTAGTCACATAATATTTAGTCTCAGTTTATCGTTTGCAACAGCAAATTTTGAATGAACTTCTAGCTGAAAACGTATTTGTAGTGCATGTTTGCCATAAGTAATGAGATTAGCAGCAACAAATCTCAACCGACACAATCTATTAGTGACGAGTTGGGTCTTGTTTGTCATAAGTTAATGAGATTAGCAAATAGTAAATCTCAACTGATACAATCTATTAGTGACGAGCTGACGTGTTTAGACGAGTTAGACTTGAGCTCAATTTTGGTTGTCATTGGGTCTTGTGAGAATTGGTTCGCAATTTCTAAGTAACAAAGCAGAAGCATGATAATTTTATTAAGATAGATACAATACTAAATAACCAAATTCATGATTACAATCCATAATAATTATAATGTTAATTTGCTATTACATTAAACTAATTATAATTGTATAGTAAAAGGAATTGGGCACAAGGTCCAAGTCCAAGCCCCAGTCAACTATTACACTCTGTTTGGCAACAAGGGGGTGCAAATTGCAGGAGGTACAAGTCGAGGGGTAAATTGCTGGAGTTGTAAGTGGATGGGTAAATTGTTGTTTGGATGAAAAAGTAGGGGGGGTGCAAATATAGTGAAAAGTAAGTAATTATATTATTTTAAAATAGATTTTAAAATTTTAAAATAGATTTTAAAATTTTAAAATAGATTTTAAGATTTTAAAATAGATTTTAAGATTATAAAATATTATCATAAAATAATAAAATAAATATTACTATATAATAAGTATACTTTACTAAAAATAGTTATTATATGATAATGCTCAAATAATAATTAATTATAACAATTGTAATAATCATTGATCGAGCGATCTCAAAATTAGAAGCTCAACTCATAACTGGTCATCCTATATAGGGTTTTCGTGTCTAGTTTAATCTTAAATTGTCAAACTTAGTCAAACACGTTCGAATTTGTAAGTTTTAACTATTTAGTCACATAAACTGAGTTAACCAAACAATTTCTCTCTATCTTTTCCACAAACACCTCGTATCTCTAATGTTCAATGCAAATTCGATTCAACCAAGAGATCTAGATTTGACTTGACGAACATTGATAAACTTGTTTCCAGAGTCAAATGGTCAACCCCGAATAATGTTTACATTAATGATATTTATAAAAAAAAGAAATTGATAATATTAATTATTATATAATTATATATAACACAATTAGAAAAACAACATTCCATAATATCCCGCTCCCCCTCTCTTCCTTCCTTCCCTTGCACCCCAATTCGGGGGGTAAGCCGAAACAGTAAATTTGCACTCCTGTTTTGCACCCCCCTACTGTTCCAAATTAACCAAACAGGTGCAAATGTGTTGGAAACTGTGTTTACCCCTCACATTTGCACCCTTCTCCCATTTACCCCTCTTCCCAAACAGAATGTTAGTCAAAGCACAAGAAAAGTCAACTTGGGTCAAGCTCAGTCAACTCAGTTCAAAGCCCAAAATCCAAGCCCAGCCAAACTCGAGCCAGATCCAATCTCGTTTGAACCAGATCAAGCCCAACTCACGCAACTACCAATAAGAAAAGTACAACACACCCTATATCTTGACCAACCAATCCAAACCTTCCACCAAATGGCCCAATAGTGCCCCCTACTGCTATAAAACAAGGGCTTACTTCTTCTTCTTTTTCAGAGCTCATTTCCCCCACTGAACGACAACTTCTTTTTCCTCTTTTCTTCTTAATACATATGAAACTTTGCAACAAAAAAAAAAAGGAGAGTAGGGCTTCCTTCTTCTTCGATCTTCGTTCTCCTTCCTTCTCCTCGCGAAAAAACAGACAGGGGACTTCCTTCTTATCTCTCGACCTCTACTTTTCTTCTTCATCTGAACGACACTTTGCAAAAAAAAAAAAAGGGACAACTGCTCCCTTCTTCCCTACCCTTCCCAACAGGCTTCTTCTTCTTCTTCTTCTTCGCCACGGTAGCCTTTCCCCTTTCAAGAAAACAGACATAAAAGAGTTCATAACAAATCTTGGATTCCCAATTCGGAAACCTCTTTTCCAACACCTTTTAAGCTTTGCTTGCTCTGGTCCGGGGCTCTAAAACAGCTACTATATAAACATTATTTTGTCCAGTAACTTAAAGTTAAGTAGTAAACTTACTATCATCTACAAAACCCCCTAACATTCCAAGCTAGTATATTCATTTCTTACCTCTTCCACGACCACCACCTCGACCCCATTTCCTCTTCACCGGGGAATGAAAACCCTTCGCCATTTGAAAATCTAGCGGATCCTGAATTGCTTCAGTTACCTGAGTTGAGGAGCTCCCGGCACAACAGGCTGCTGAATTCCCAGGATCAGGTGGTGCCTGAGAGGCTAGTGAGCTCCCTTTTTGTCTAGGTGACTCACGAACCACTTCTGCAAAACTCATAACAACACCGAATAAAGAAGGTACCGAATCCATCAATTCCATCCCACTCCTAACATCCCCTCCGGATTCTGAATCAACCCATACAACCTCCTTATCCTTGTAAGGTACCACTATAGTCCCCTCATCTCTTGCCTCCTGCATCCTCCATAACCCATACGAGTAGAGTGATCCATGTGAAGCGGCATCTCAACCTTGATCGCAGCCCATTCCAGGCCATCAAGATAGTTGTACTCAAGAGACAAACCACTGAAACGAGCCCAGATAGTTAGGGTTTCTATCTTGTGTTCCACATGTTGGATGCCGGGAAACCACTGGCAAAGGAATATCGTGTTCCCTTGAAAGTGCCACAGACTCAATTTTGAACTGCCATTCACTCGTACCCAGGGGACGAGAAGTGGAAAACCAAAAGCTGCAATCCAAATCTGGAGACTCGAATGACCAGTCTCTTCCCCATAGGTGATTGGCCCAGCTCTGAAGCTCTGGAATTCAAGGAATCTCACCCACAAATTGCTCTTTTACTTCCTTTGGAATCCTGAACCCATTGTTAACGTGCTTCGAAGGTCGAAATCAAAGACGATTTTCCAGTGCAACGACAAACAACTGGGCCCAAGAAATACCCTCACCAGCCACCGGCGGTGAGGCCACCATAGCGTGCGAAACCCTAGCTCGGAGAAGGGGGGAGAGAGAGAAAATAACTATCTTTTTGCAAGTATAATTGGTTATTATTGATTTTGTGATAATGGGCTATTATTCACATTAACAAAAAATCAATAGTTATTGCCATACGTGTGCATTTTTCCACTAAATTATGATGTGACGTCCACGAGGCATGACATGAACGTGCTTCGAAGGCCGAAATCAAAGACGATTTTCCAGTGCAACGACAAACAACTGGGCCCAAGAAATACCCTCACCAGCCACCGGCGGTGAGGCCACCATAGCGTGCGAAACCCTAGCTCGGAGGAGGGGGGAGAGAGAGAAAATAACTACCTTTTTGCAAGTATAATTGGTTATTATTGATTTTGTGATAATGGGCTATTATTCACATTAACAAAAAATCAATAGTTATTGCCATACATGTGCATTTTTCCACTAAATTATGATGTGACGTCCACGAGGCATGACATGTCGAGTTGTCGTTGATATGTGCGTCAAGGTGGCATCTTCGTAAGTGTCTTGTTAATGTAACATGCGAAATCTCTAACGGCGTAAAAGTCCACATTGACGATGAAGAAGACGTAACATAAGAATCGAACATCGGGTCGTCCTTTTGATGAAATTGGCTAAATTTGTCAAACGTCTTTCCAAAATCTGGACATTTTGTGTAATTCTCAAGAATTGTCTATTATTGTCACAAGATCAATAGTTATGGTTATGCAAGTGAATTTTACCAAACTTAAGATTGGAAGTAAATTATTTCTCTACTACTTTTATCTAGGGCTGCAAATGAGCCGAGCTACTCATGACTCATGAGTGGTTCGGTGTTCGACTCAGGAAAAACTCTTTCGAAACTCGACTTGTTTGTTAATGAGCCGAGGTTGAGCTAAGCCTTGTTCAAATCGCGAGGCTCGCGAGCTAGCTCGACTCGATGGCTTGTTGAGCTCAACTCGTGCACTGCTCGTTAAGAGGTCATGAGATATCTCAACATTGTAGTTAGACAACCAACTCGCCTGCCGACTTATGAGTCAATCGATCTATGATCTTATGAGTTGAATTTTGATAATTCATAGGATAGTAAAATTATATCTCACCCTATATGAGGTTCAACACATTGATTATGTGAGAAAATATGTCTTATAGTAAAATTTAAAAATAAATTATGTATAATAATTTCTTCGCTAACATGAGATTAGTTAACCATGAAAATTTGATGATTATTCTTTTTCATGGTAACATTAATCACATGTATCAAACAAGAGCCAAGAGGATAACCAAAAGACCTTTGGAGATAACGAGAGAGAAAAAACAAGAGCCAAGATTTTACTTAACGAGCTCACTCGAGTTTGACTCGACTCATTAATAAACGAGTTGAGCTCGAGATCGACTTATTTATTAACAAGCCGAGTCCAAACTAGGGTAAAAATCGGCTCGACTCGGCTCATTTGCAGCCCTACTTTTAGCCCTTACGAATTTGGGCCTTTGAACAAAGTCCATAACTTCGGGTCCATTTGCTTTCTGCCCATCTGTGCGCTGGTTTGGAGTTTGGACCAAAAAAGGAAAATTATGCGGCCCAAAGCTGTTTCATTTGCTTTCGAGGAATGATCTCCTCTTCCCTGCCCAGCATTTCGTTTCTTGCTGTTGGTCCTTCCTTTTTTTACGAGAGAGAACGCGCAGACTGCAACTCCCAGGAAGACTTGTTCTTCGTCTTCACACTAACTACCATCAACTCCATCTACAGCCTCAAATTTCCCCCTCGGCTGTTCGTAAGGTAAAGATCTCTGCTTTCCTTTTTTGACTTGGATGGTTGATTGGCTTTCCCTGATCTGCCGGCCGATCAGTTATCGCGTCCGATCGCCTTAAAGTTTGGCCTTTTTTTTGTTTCGAAGTAAACTGAGAACAAGGGTTCTGCTTGCAGAGCTCTAATTTATTGATCTCCTCGCTTTCTAATTGTAGCTTCTTAGTGGGTCGTCTTTCTGCAATTTCCTGGTACTCCTTGCATTGACCGTTCTTCTGGGCTGGTTCATCAATTGACTTACAATTGACCGACAACGAGGGTGTTATTTGATGAGTGGGTGGCTGATCTCTTTTTGTTTTCAATTAGGCTTCTAAGATGAGTGACGATTTATTGGAGAAGGTGAGTGCTTTTGGTGAACGCCTCAAGATTGGAGGTGCGGAGATGGGTCGAAAAATGACTGCTGGGATGAGTTCTATGAGCTTCAAGATGAAAGAGCTGTTTCAAGGTCCGAATCAAACGGACAAAATTGTTGAGGAAGCTACTGCAGAGACGCTTGAAGAACCCGATTGGGCCATGAACCTAGAAATATGTGACATGATAAATCAGGAAAAGATCAATAGCGTGGAATTGGTTCGTGGTATAAAGAAGAGGATTGTGGTGAAGAGTGCTAGGGTTCAGTACTTGGCCTTGGTGTTACTCGAAACATGCGTCAAGAATTGTGAAAAGGCATTCTCGGAAGTGGCGGCTGAGAGGGTTCTTGACGAGATGGTGCGGCTGATTGATGACCCTCAGACTGTTGTTAACAACCGCAATAAGGCTTTGATCCTGATTGAAGCTTGGGGTGAATCAAGCAGTGAGCTACGGTATCTGCCTGTTTATGAAGAAACATACAAGGTATCCATTTGGGCATATGTTCAAGTAATCTTTTCATTTTCCCTGTGTTATTTTTGACTGAGAACTTATTAGTCTCTTTCTTGAGATCAGTACCTGGATAATGATGAGTTCTTGATCTTACTTTTCCTTGGCTCACATCTTATTTTGTATGGAACAGAAGATTTTGATCTGACAGCTACATGGTAGAGTTTGCATGCTTTCTAGTGAATTATAAATCTCAACATTAATACTCTAGTAGCTAGAGGATCAAAACAGTAGAAGATCGGCTACATCAACTGGGTTTAACAATAGTGAAATCATGTTTTGGAATTTCAGAGTGGGTGTAGAAAGTGTCCCGACTGGAAAGAATCTTATTTTTCTGACAATGGGCCCTTACCTGAAAATTCCTTTACTTGTTGCCTGCTGCATGTTTTATTTCCTCATTGACAGCTCTTATTTCTTGTATGGCATTGGCTCGTTCAGAGTCATAGGTTTATTAGCTCATCTTACGTATACCCTGAGCTGTATTTTGCTTGGGTTTTCATGAATTCCTCCTTTTGTGCAGAGCTTAAAATCAAGGGGCATCCGGTTCCCTGGTCGTGACAATGAGAGTTTGGTACCTATCTTCACCCCTCCTCGTTCCATTTCAGCACCAGAAGTGGATGCCAATCTGGCAGAGCAGACTCATCACGAAGTTGTTGTTGAAAGCCTTACTGCTGAGCAAACGAAGGAAGCTTTTGATGTGGCCAGGAATAGCATTGAACTTCTCACTACAGTTTTATCTTCATCTCCCGGACAAGATGCTTTGAAGGTACTTTTTATCTGACTGACCCTCACGATACTCACTGTATGGTTTTGGTTTTGATATAAAAATAGTACTCTCCGGTGGTCTTATAGATCATTGAGGACTAAATTGTATATGTAAGATGCCTGCTCAAAATGTCCTTCGGTGCTGTTATTATACTATTATGTATGTTGAAACCTAGTGAATATTGCTTCGAGTGCCTTTATATGTTGGGGTGATTCAAGACTGAGACTTGCTAAGTGCTAACGAGAGTTCTTTAACATTGAATCGAATTGAATGAGCTGGAGAAAATTGAGAAGTTTAGGCGGTCATTGTAAGGTGTAAGTTTCTCTGAATTCGTTGGGCATGATGTATGCAACTCAGTAATGCATCCATTGCTGTGTCATTGGCATGTTTTGTGCTGTGTACTCTATGTTGTTTTCATACATGATGCTAGACAAAACAGGTTCAAAGCTAGTGGTATTACCACTAGACTCAAGGCGTTTGTTTTTCAATTGTAATTCTTGTATGATATGAAGATCTGAGTTGGGATTTGGTCTCTTGCTTTTGTAGGATGATTTGACTAGTACCCTTGTCCAGCAATGTCGGCAGTGCCAGTCGACTGTCCAAAGAATCATTGAGACGGCAGGGGACAATGAGGCCTTGCTTTTTGAAGCTTTAAATGTTAACGACGAGATTCTGAAAGCTCTGTCCAAGTACGAAGAGATGGAGAGGCCATCTGCGGTGCATTCTGAACCTGAACCTGCCATGATCCCAGTCGCAGTCGAGGCCGAGGACTCCCCTACTCATGCAAAAGAAGCAGATGCATTGATCAGAAAGCCAGCAGGCTCACGGGTCGGGGCACATGGGGAGGGGAGCAACGATGACATGATGGATGATCTCGACGAAATGATATTTGGGAAGAAAGGCGGCGCCAACACATCATCGGAAGACCCTAAGAAGCCACCTTCATCATCATCATCATCCAAGGACGATCTCATCTCTTTCTGAGTACAAACGTCGTGCTGCTTTCAAGGATGATCCTTTCTCATGGTGTCGAAACACGAACCGTCCTATCTTTGAGTTCGAGTCGCTGTGATTAGACATTGTTTAGGAATTGGGGATTTCACTAAAGCCGTTACAAGATTGAATGTTGTTCTGTTGCAGGACATTGGCTGTATTTGAAGAGTAGTGCTGGCCTGTTAATAACTGATCGAAGTGCTCTAAATCCTAAAAACATAAAGCTATATATTACCAAAACGGCACAACATTGTCAGCTTGCGCCATGATCATTTTCTCAAAACGATGCACGCAAATTACAGCTAGTTAACTTGTGTAAGACGGTAAGAGTGAGAAGAAAAACAAAAAAAGTATTTATCACCGGTGGTGTTTCTTCTCCTTCTTCTCTTTATGTTTCTTGTGTTTTTCTTTCTTCTCCTTTTTCTCCTTCTTTTTACTGGGGGTAACAACCAGATCGGCCGGCGGCAAGAAGTTCTCGGCGGTCAGTCCCCAGACATTGAAATCGACCTCGTCGATCTTCCAAGTCTCCCGAATCTCCCTCTTGTGGTTCGCCGACTGCTCGCCGTAGCGGTAGACTGTGACCCTGGTCTTGCCGCTGTGGGCAATATTGACACCTTCGACGTACTTGTAATCCTCCATCACCGACTCCATGCTTGTCTCCCAGAAGACGTCGTAGTCGTCTTTGGTCCTCATCCGCAACAGCCGGGAGTCCTCGAACTGGACCAGAAGCCCAGACCTCTGGCTGAAGTAGCCCCAAATGGTGTGGTGGATGATCTCGAAGTTGGGCCCGCTCTGCGCTTCTCGGATCGCCGGGCTCGTCTCCAGCTTCAGTATGAAGCAATCCTCGTTGTCGATTATCTTCTCCCCGATGCACGTCGCGTCGGCGAACAGGTTCGCCGTCGACCTCGGATCCAATCCCTGAAATTAGGAAGAAAAAAAAAGGAGGGATTATGACGAATCGCTAGAAATTGGGGGTGAAAACGGGAAATGGTGGGGGAACTTGGTGATTGCCTGGAGGAAGCGGCGGAGTGGGCGGGGAGATCCTCTGGAAATTGGGGTTTGCTGGTTGGAAGAATGCCTCCAAGAGAGCTTCCCGTTGCTTCCGCAGATGACTTTACACCCGGAAACCACCAGCTCCAAGATCCACAGGTCCGGATCTTTCTGCCACAGGACGAACCCGCCGGCTTCCTCTGTGTTCTTCACGTTGATGGTCTGGTCCCCTTGATGGAACTCCGACGCGCAGATCTTCACCGACCCGATCACGCACATGCTGTGCACCGCGTTCAGCGCCGGCTGGCCTCCCGTCGCCGCTATGTACTGATGCAAGATGTACTTGGCCGTCGACGCTTGCTGCATGCACAACCCACAACAACAACAACAAGAAGTAGGGAACGATCAGCACCGAAAGTGTTCGACGAAATGCCTGAACGAAAAAATAAAAATAAAACAATGAGCGAGGAAATCGAACTCTCTGACAATGGAGGAATCTCGGACGGCCTTGTGGACGGCGTGGCCGACTTGGACCTGAAGAGGAATGAGGGGAGATCCGACGAGGTAGAGAAGGAAGCGGAGCTCGTTGATCCGGCTGGCGATGACGGGCTGGGACCATTTGTCGGAAGTCTGTGCTCTCATCCAGCTGAGCATGTTCTGCAGTCGCAGCGTGGTGTTGCTTCCCATGCCGGTGAACATCTCTTCAGGGATCGGGATCTCGAGGACCGTCTCGAGCCCGTCGTCTTTGTCGATGTTTGGGCACAATTTCCTCATGTAAGAATGCTTGTTTGTTTGTTTGTATTTTTTTTTTTTCTCTCCTCTTTCTCCTGTAAACTATGAAGGGCGAAGCTTTTCTTTGTTGTTTTCTTGTTACAGGAAAGGGTGGAAATGCAGAAAGAGTGAGAAGGGAGAGCATTAGATTCAGGAGGAAAAATTCAATTGTCGGGGAAGATGGGGGAGATCAGGTGGCTCCCCTTGCTTCTAGCTCTTGTGTGGTTTCGTTTGATTTTCTGATAATTCATGAATTATTTCAAATATGAAGAAAAAAAATTGCCAAAATTAAATTTCAATGAGACCAAATTGAAACAAAACAAACTTTTAGTACTATTCTAATCATCATTTTCTTCTTCTTTATTTTTTGTTAGACCCTATGTTATTTTGAGACTTGTCACGTTATTTTGAGACTTGTCACTATGTCAAGCAATGTAGTCAAAAGCGCGTTTCTATGTAGAAGTGGTTTGGTGATATAAAAGCGTAAAACTGTAAGTTTTTAAACTTTAAAGTATAGTTTTTAACTACATTAGTTATAAAAATGGAGATTATGCGAAGAAGCATTTTGGTGATCTAAAAACGTAAAATCGTAAGTTTTTAAGCTTTAAAGCACGATTTTGACTACATTAATGTCAAGACCTCTCTTCTATGACCTGCTGGTCTTCATATCCACAACTTCCTCAATATTACAGGGGTTTACTGGGATGGGTTAGGGTGGCAACTAGAATTCTAGTAGCCACCGTGGCTACTTCAATATCCTCCGTCTATTTTTTTATTTTTCCTTTTTTTTAATCTCACGGTTAAAATTGCTTCAGGGTAATATTGGAAAAAAAAACCACACTTGATTATTCTATATATTCTACTCAAACCCTAATTCTACCCCCTCTCTCATCCAAACCCTACTTCTATCCCTCTCAGCCGTCTCCCTCCAGCGAGCCCTCCTCTCCAATCGTGTCCCATGTTCCTCCGCCCACCGGCCCTCCCTCCTCCTCCTCTCTCTCTCTACCCAACCACCCTCCCCCTCCCCTGCCCACCACACCGCCGACCGCCCACTCCCCTCCCTGCTCCCCTGTCCACCTCCCCCTCTCTCTCTCTCTCTCTCTCTCTGAGACGGCTATGGCTGAAAAATGTGGGATGAATAAAAACCCCAGATCTGTTTTTTTCTGCAGTGGTAGTGATTTTTTCGTAGTGGTAGTTTTTTTCCGCATTGGTAGTGATATTTTCGTAGTGGTAGTGTTTTTTTCGAATTGGTATTGTTTTTTCCGCATTGGTAGTGATTATCATGTAAGTGTATTACTTTTTAGTGAAATGGTAGTTTTTTTTGTAGCGGTAGTGTTTTTCACATTGGTATTGATTATCATGTAATGATATTGATTTGCATGTATTGATAGATCTGCAATGGTATTGGTGTTCTGTGAAATGGTAGTGTTATTATTTCTCGAATGGTATTGGTGTTTTGTGCATTGGTAGTGTTCTTTTAATGATTTGATATTGTTTTATTGTTGCAGCGCTATTAGTTCGGTTGAACGAAAACAAGGAAAAGATTGCAAAAAAGGAAGAGATATATGGCTGGAAATTGTGGAAGTGAGAGAAAGAGAGAGAATTGTAATTAATATATTTTTGTAACTTCCTAAAATGTAATTTGTTAAAAGGGTAATTAATAATTTTTTTGTTATACTCAGTTTGCCCTTAATAACCACGGTGATTACTATAAATTAGTAATCACTGTAACCTGTCCCCGAGTTTACTTGCACTCCCTAGTCCCTAGTAAGATATGACATGTCTTAAATACTCCACCTCTTTGAATTCCAAAATGCACACTTCAATATCTTGACAAAGAAATGGTTCTCTCTCTGAATATCAACAAAGAAATGTTCTTCTCGCGTCGGACTATAAACCAACTTGATCTTGGTGCAACATTTATCAGCCAACAGAGTCTAGTGATCTCTGCCTCCCCTAGCAACTCGAGCTCCTCTAGTATGCCAGTCTCGTGGGCGTGATTAGTGTAGTCAAAATTGTGATTACATGAAATTTAAAATGGTGTGAAATCAAAACCATAGATTAAAATCATAAAATCGTAAAAAATTTAAGTTTCATGTAGATACTAACACTTAAAACACTAGATGATATCAATAATGCATGTCCTAGATAATACCCAAACACATATTTCCTATTCTGGTTAATAATTAAGAGTGAACTCATCAATTCATTATGATTAATACTTAATATCACCATCTCAGTCATTCTCATTGCCGTAATTCAGTCAACTACTTAGAATTCTTATTGAGTTGCTCGGCCAACAATATCATTAAACTCGGGATCATTTAAAGTATTGACACGTGACTGGCGATCGTAACATTACCTTCATGTCAGTACAATTACACATGAAAGTTTCTAAAACGATAAAAATCCATTGGTTTACGAATGTGAGTAATTATTATTTGGGCTAATACCAATACAACACCCAAACTATTCGAAAAATGCCACTTGTGTCCTATTGTTTCCAATATTCCATCTGTGTCATGAACTATATGAGTATGTGACATTTGTGTCATGGCGTCTTACGTTGACCGTTAAAGATAACTGTTGACTTGACGGAAGTCAAATTAGTGTTGACTTTCGCATATGTGGCAGAAAAGTGGTATCCACGTAGATGCCACCTCATTGACATGTCATTACTTAATTACAAATAAAATTATTTAAATAAATTATAATAACTATAATACAAAAAATACAAAATTCTTAGAAATTAAAAAATAAATGGCTCCCCCTCCCCAATCTCCCCGTCTCTACTTCTTCCTCTTCCCCTCCGCATCAATCTTCCTCTTCTCCCATTCTCTGCTTCTTCCTCTTCCTCTCCAATCCCAACAATCACCAAATCCAAGTATTCTACTACTCGAGAATAAAGGGCGCTCATGGCCAGGAGAAGCTCTAGCTTCGAAGTTTCAACTTTCAATCCATCCTATTATCTCGACATTTCGACGGCAGCGTAGCGACTAGCGAGCGTCTTCTTCCCCTGTGTTTCTCTCGTTTTTCTCAGAGCTAAGCGAGATGCAACTGCAGTATCCAATCCCAATTCTTCTTCCCCAACCAGCGCCACCCACTTCGCCACCGCTCCTTAAATTGCTCCATTTCCGCTAAAGCCGCCGCCGTCTCTTCAGAGCTTGCCACCGTCGTCCTGGGTTCTCCGCAACACAAGCCCTTCCCCGCTGAGGTCTCCAGATCCAAGTGCGGACTTTGACTGGAAAATGGAAACCCAGTGGAGCTTCTACCATTTTCCGAAGAACCCTAATTTTGCCAAAACAGGATTTGTTCAATTCAACTCAATCGGAGATTGAAATCATGAATCAATAATGGAATACATTATGGAGTGGGAAGAGGTCTTTACACGGGCCTTGATTTGGGGTTATGTCGAATGAGAAGGTGATTGGAGCGTGAGGTGGCGAGGGAGTCGGATGTTGGCCCGCAACATTTCTGGGTTCGAAGAGTAGAGTGGAAGACGCAGAGGTGGTGGCGACCTGGATCGACGGTGGTTGGGATGAATCTTCGATGCCGACGGAGGACTTGTTGACACGATTAAAGCTGGGATGAATCTTTGATGCCGACGACGGAGGTGGTGGCGGCGCCGCATCTCGAACCTTCAGAATCTGGTCACCCTTTCTCTAGCACGACGATTCCCCTGCCACGACCTTCAGAATCTGGGTGTTGATGGCGACTTACCGGAGAGGGCTCCCGGCAGAGGGTTCCACCAGACGGCGGGAGGAGACGCGGAGAAGGGATTGGGAGGGTTTTCTATTTTTTATTTTTTATTAAATGAAAATTCCAGGTCAGATGCCACGTCAACGCTGACTGGATTTTCTGTTAAATACTAACGGTCAATGCCGGTCAACACTAACGGAATAATAGTTCATGACACAGATGGAATATTGGAAACAATAGGACACAAGTGACATTTTCCGGATAGTTCGGGTGTTCTAGCGGTATTAGCCCTTATTATTTTAACAGATTTTGTGAGTAATTAGTATTTGAATAAAATTATTTGGATTAAGAACTTTTTTTTTTTGCTAATGGTTACAACAAATTATAATGGCTAGGTAAATTTTGTTTTAATTATTTATTTATATTGTTAAAGAAACCAAATCACCTATTTTGGGGGGGTAACAGGATAGCAACCCTTATGGCAAACATTTCGAGAGGATGCTTGAAAGTGTAGTAATTCTCATCCAAAATTCTTGATCATAATGTTGGATATTAATGTTTTTATATATATATATGTATATATATAATACTTTGTTTCCAAAGAACTAAAGATGTACGTTTTCGCTTTATAATTCAAGTTTTAGTTGTATTAAATATTAATTGCTTGTACTATATCAATGATTAATATATTATCACGTTTTCAATACATTGTTTGGTAATTAATAAGTTTCATAAATGAAAAATTGAGTACATTCCTAGATCATTCATGCGCCTGCATATTTAGGACAAAAATGGTCGCTCCAAACTAAAAAAACACTAACTAAAATGAAGTGATAATCACATGTTGTACCTAAGAATTTTAGTATATATAACAATCAAATACTACCATCCAACGAGCCTAACTCTGATCTAGTTCTAACATAATTTGTTTGCCTTCTTGGAAGAGAATTTTTCTAAACCCCTAGAGAAATGACAATTAGAAAGGTTAGGGAATCTCACTATCCAAAAGAATGCCCAAATATGTTTAGAATTTCATTTTCCAATTCTATTTTCAGTTCCTAATTTTATAAAATTTCATTTTCAATTCTTGTGTTTGGCATCATTCCCACAACTATGGAAATGAATAGCACTTTTATCAACAATTAATAATTTAATATATTTATTTATTTTGGAAATCAAAATATGAATGATAGAGAGATAAAATAAGATGATAGCGGGTTAATAAAATAGCTCTGTTTTCAGAATCGGACTTGAGGCTGAACCGGAAAAGTTAGTGGTTTAGGGTTCAGCGGTTAACCGTTACAAAACCGTTGGTAAACCGTTGATAGAATTGTTCATGATATATAACATATAAGACTTGTATATTACACTAATTTAAGAATGAAATTATCATTGACCATAAACAAGTTCAAATTCATATAATCACCAAAGTATCTAATAAATCATTCCGACCATCTCACTAAAGAAACCATTTTTTTTAATTCAAATTAAAAATTACGATTCTAGTCTGTAGTAGACAACGTAAAGTCGACAATAAGGTTGAGGAAGCATATATAAAATTAATAATTATGATTTGATGGTCTTAGTTTATGTTAAAGCAATTTTTGTTTTTGTTAAAATAGTGAACGAGTTGACCAGTTAAACCTTGCTGGTTCATGTGATTTTATGTTGAACCGTGAAAAAACTGTTTGGTCCATCAATACCCGTTCATTCAAGCAATAAACCAGACCGCTATCGTAACTGGTTGACGACTCTACTAGCCCGACCGTTGATCCGGTGCGCTTCTTATAACAATGCAAAAAATAGCAATACTACATATTAACGAGACTCGCTAATTCCATGTCCATAAACCCAATTCATATAACTTTCGACACTAACTGTAATTATCCAAACTTAGCCGAAACGGAGTTCATTTTTCGATCCCTTTTATCATTCATTCTAAACATAAAATATGAAATTGAAAAACGGAAATCAAATTTCCTGAGTGTTTGTGTCTATCTATCCAAATTAACAAAGCTGTAAAAAGCATTAACTTCGTCCTTTCAACTCAAATACAAACCTATACAACTTACATTGTTGTTGAGAATAATCCATCTCCTCAAACAATACGCAATACCACCACAGAAAGAAAACGGAAGGTGTAATTAAGATGGTAATTAAACTAATTATAGAAACTCCTAAACATGGGCTTCGCCCTGGCTTTTACGAGCCTCTCCCCCAAAGAGCTCCTCCATCTCCTCCAACGACCTCCCTTTCGTCTCCGGAAACAGAGCATACACGAAAACCCAACCGACCAGCGACACACCGGCGAACAGGAAGAACGCCCCGCCGATCGTAATCGCCTTGTACAGCGAAATGAACGTCATCGAGATCAGCGCGTTCATCAGCCTGTTCACCGCCACGCCCAAACTGTACCCCTGCGCCCTCAGCCTCAGGGGCAGGATCTCGGAGCTGTAAACCCACGTCACGGGCGCGACCCCAATGTTGAAGAACGCCACGAAAGCGTAAGTGGAGGCGATGCTCAGCCCCAAGGCCCACAGGATCTTCTCCCCGTGGTGCCTCTCCACGATCGTCAAACACGCCCCCAGCAGGGTCAACGCGCCGATGATCCCGGTGAAGCTCGTCAGCAGCAGCCTCCGCCGCCCGACCCGATCCATCAGGAAGGTCGACAGCACGATGAATGCGAATTTCGTCAGCCCGACACCCACGGTGGCCAATAGGAGCTTGTGCTTGTCCGTGACGCCGGCCGATTTGAAGATCCTCGGGCTGTAGAGGACCACGGCCTCGATGCCCACCGCGTGTTCGAAGAAATGTATCCCCACAGCGCACACGAGAATCCTCCGTACGGCCGGGGTGGGGCGCAGGAGGAGCTCCTTCCACACCCCTTTCCCTCCCGATTCCTTCTTCGACACCTCCACGACCTCGTCCTTGCAATTCTCGTCGATCCCGGCCGCGATCTTGATGTCCAGGAACCGCTTCTCGGCTTCCTCGAGGGAATTCGACACTTTGAGGAGGATCTTCCTCGCTTCCCCCAATTTCCCCTGCGAGATCAGCCACCGCGGGGATTCCGGCATTTTGAGGATCCCGATCGCGAGGATGAGGGAAGGCGCCGCCGCGACCCCGAGCATCAGCCGCCAGCCGAGCCGGAGCGGGAGCTTGGCGCAGGCGACGTTGGAGATGTATCCGAGGAGGATTCCGATCGCGATCCCCCATTCGGGGAGGGAGGTGAGGAAGCCGCGGGATTTGGCGGAGGAGACCTCCGCGGAGTAGACGGGGGCGATCAAGAGGGCGAATCCGACGCCGATGCCGGCGACGCAGCGGCCAGTGATGAGGACGGCGTAGTCCGGGGACCAGCCCATGAGGATGGATCCGAGGAGGAAGATGACGGAGGCGAGGACGATGGTGTACCGCCGGCCGATGTAATCGGAGATTCTTCCCGCCATCAGGGAGCCGACGAGGGCGCAGATGTTGAGGATCCCGGCGAGGACCTGGACCTGCGTGTCGTTGATTAGGAGGTCTTCTTTTATGAAGATCATAGCTCCACTCATCACTCCAGTATCTACATATGATTAAACATGATTAAAAATTTGATTCAAACACTAACTATGCATTAATTAGGATTAATCACTTGTGACTTGCCGTATCCGAAGATGATGGAAATCATGGAAGCGACGATGGCGCAGGCGGCAGCGTAGGCGTTGAATCTCTCGTCGGACGGCGGCCCAGCGGCCGCGGTGGTGGACGTCATGAAAGACATCACTCACTCAATCACTCGGACAGTTTCGAGTGCTGGAGAAAAGCGACCCTAAAAAAAAGGGAGAAGAGAAGAAGATTGGTTTGTGTCAGTCGTGTGGAGGGAACGACTCAGTGCGGAAATGAAGAGGAACGAATAAGCAAACTCAATAAATAGCGGGACTTAATTGGAAGTTGATTCTATAAAAAGAAAAGATAATCACCATCCCAAAACAACTATTAATAACTATATTACCATCTATCCAAAGTGAAAGGGAAAAAACAGGAAGGGACAGAGTGATTGAGATATATTATTGGATAGGATTGAACGTGTTAGATTATATATCAATTATCAAATTAGTAAGATTTTAGTTATTTAATTATTTCGTTACTATATACACCAAGGTTCAAAATGACACTCTTAAACTTATGCGTAGCTACAACTACGCTTTAGGCAACGTCAAAATGTTTAACTAAAAGTTTTGCAGCAAGTTACAAAATTAATATAGTGTACAAAACTCAACGTCAAAAAGTTTTGTAGCTTCTCTGTTGGCTACAATAAATTATTTAGTGTCTGAATGGTGCGGTTCCTCTACCGTCTTCTCTTTTTACCATCAGAAGTGGCTACCTATCAGTTCAAGAAACACAATATTGTAGATTTATCCAAATTTTATGGTTTTATGTATACAATAAATGAATTAAAGTGTACTAATTGAAAGTTAGTCTAAAGTCTAAACATGAAAAATCATTGATCAATATATATTGTTAAGATAATTCACCAAGATATGTTGGGATTAGTGAATCTAACCATTATAAGTAGGCCTATGATGAAATTTGAGAACGTGGCGCCCAATGTAAGAATACTTGATAATTCAACCAGCATAATATAAACGTTCAGAATTTTTAATGCATTATCTACTTAAGAAATTATAAATTATTGATTAAACAGTTAATGTTTAGTTTACAAACTAGCACTCATCGAATTACGTTTTCATAAACTTATATTGAGATCAGATATGAGCAACCATAACTTTTTTTTTTTTTGAAAAATATCTAACAGTCCATAAACAATTTTAGATTATCCAAACAAACATAAATAAAAAAATAGATTGATTTACAAAGGACAAAATGTAATTCACCCATTATGAACCGGTTATAAAGTTTTTTTTTTATATAAATGGATACAATGTATCCTAACCTTCATTCATAACCAGACGGGGTTCAGAATTCCACTGAGTGTCATACAAGAACCACCAGTACAACATAGGGTCACTAGCAGGAACGAAATGGAAACGTAGAGACATAGAATGACCTTGATTCGCCAGGTAGTCGGCACACTTATTATCTTCCCTGTAAACATGAGAAAATACAATTTCCCAATCTCGCCTAACCAAGTTCCAAAATTGAGGCGGTCAATAACCGCAATGTACTAGTGGTCTGGGTTCACGGTGCTACTGATAAGGTGGATGGCACAACGAGAATCCAGCTCCACCCTTACATATTTATAGCCCAGATCCCAATCCAGTTGAAATCTTTACATAGTGCCTCTTATGTTTAACTTAACTCGGGTACGTACGAAGGTGGTTCTTCTCTCATGATATTACTCGAACTCGACTCGTTTATTAATGAGCCGAGCTCAAACTGGGGTAAAACTCGACTCGATTCGACTCATTTGCAACCCTACTCTTAACTCAGCTCGGGTACGTACCAAGGTGGTTCTTCTCTCATAATATTACTCCTCTCTCGTTGCCTGTCTTGATCTCACCCCGAACTGTTTCTCGTGGGCCGTCATGCCTTCTAACAGGCCACTTGGTTCCTTTTCTATTTCTTGTTTCTTTAGACTTTTTTTTGTCCTATCCGATGTTTATTAATTTGTTTTCATATTGCATCTTTTAAAATGAAACATCAATTTCAAGGAAAAAAGTCCAAATTATTGAGAATATACAAATAATTAGAGGGTGATCACATTGAAAAAGACAAAATAATACAAGAGTACGTTGATGGTACGTAGTGGTAGACTATTAGGTGGCTTGTCTATTCTTTAACAACTTGGAAATAAAAAAAACATACCTTCTCAAACCGTAAGAGTTCGGGGTATGATATAATACACTAATGTCTAATTAGTAAAATTTAGGTCTTATTTCTCTAAATACTATGTAATAATATTGATTCAATTAGAAACAATGATAGACAGTTTTGATTCGTCAAAATACATTCACTGATTAGATGCATCATCTAAGGTTTTGGGGAGTGAGGTTGATAGAATTAAGACATAGGATTTACTCAATAAAGGTTTGGGTATAGTACCATGTCTCAAATTCAGTTAATTAAATGTCTACACAACATTTTTCTTACTAAGCGTATGTGGTACTCTATTGATCTCGTTTATAGAAGCCGTCATATATATACAAATATACGTATATAAATATACGACAACAATTGGCATACTCCTAGGTTGTATCGTATTCCAATGAATTTGGTCATTGGATGTATTTCATTGCACTTCGATGAATCGGAATTGTCGATTGTTAGTGTTTATTAAGATGATTTTCATATTTGGATTTAGAAAACATAAGCCTGAGATTTATTCATTAGAAGATAGCGTATTGCATTACTCCAAATTCAGTTTAATCCATTTTCGAGATATATATCTAAAATTAATTAAGAGTATATAGTGGTATAAGACCTATTATGGAACCTCTCCCAACAACTCGAGTTATTGGGATCAACTGGTTCTTGACATGGTATCAGAGCCTTCCGTAACCGAAAGGTCTTGTGTTCGATTCCTAGTAACCCCCATTTGTTAAGCACATGATATTTGGGTTTGTGCAAACTTCAAACCCTTGTGAGTGATTTTCGTTTGAGTGGGTGTGTTAGTATGTGTTATAAAATCTTATTATGGAATTTCTCCCAACAACTCGAAGCAGTAGATGATGAGTACCCTTCAAAGATTGAATATGGAAATCAACTATGAGAGACAGAGAGAGGTGATGTTGATCCCCAAACTTAACTATTTTCATGCAACGAAGAGACCAGCAATAACTTATCATCATTATTATTATTGTTTTAAACGCACAGTCCTACTACCGAAGTCCACAAGTCCAAGTCAACTTATGAGCTTGTCGCGAGGCTGCCAAGTCGATTAGCTTCTTTAGTGCAAGTTGCTGAACGAATCGTATAACTTTGACTGCCGGTGTAATAAAGACGTAACCAATTAATTACGCCAAACACGCCCACGTGGTAGAGTTCACCGTTTTGGGTTTTCTGCTTTGGATGTGGATAAGACCGAGCAGCATCGGGCTCGATATTTAGAATGAATTCTAATCTGAATCTGACGAAGAGTGCGGTGGTTGTGTAAGGAGAATTAGGGTGGACATCACTCCGGTCTAGACCGAATTAGACCAAATTTAGAGAATCGCGGTCTAATAGTGAAAGATAATTTAGAACTAAGGATAGGACAAATAATGTATTCGGTCCGCTTTGGTCCGGTCCAAATGTCAATTCGGTCCATTTTTTCAGTATTTATAAAATTTAAGTAACCAAGTATTGAACCATATTATATTCGATTTGGTGTGGTTCGATCCAAACATCGATTCGGTACGGTGTGGACCAACCTATTGCCCACCCCTACTTGTGGGTACCATTATCTCAAAACTTCAATTACTACGTATATGTTTAGGTAAGTTTCTAGAATTCGACTATGAATATCTTAATATTAAACAATTCGAACTTTCTAACTATTTAGATTCTTGAAAAAAGAGTTATACAATTTATTGTTCGATAATTTTGATTGTTTTGTTCTTCTTCGTTGAATCTAATTTTAATTGTTGACATTTAGGGGCCGTTTGGAGAGTATGATTTAGATCGTAGATTTACCAAATTCGTATATGTTGTAGAAAGTTAAGTTTTTTGTTGCTTTTTGTATTGTAGATTTTAACTTTAGAGATTTCAAATCTCTAAAATCTACCGATATCAAATCTCTCATAATCGAAGAGTAGCTATATCTTGATTTGTGAGATTTTTTCCTCCTATTTTTATCTTATTCAATTTGTTTAGCCCTTAAACTCAACCCCACTCGCACCAACCCTTCCGACGAGTTCTCTCCAGGTGCCTGATCCTGCACACGAGGCGCACCGGGCTCCTCAAGCCCGTCAGCATTGCGACGATCAAGTCAGTCAAGTATTCTAAAGAGAGAAGTAAGTTAACGAGTTTTAGTGAGAGAGTCCAACTCCCTTAAATGTCACATTCCGAGCACTATTTATACTCATTAGAGTCCCAACCATATCCCTGAAAATATGCCATACGCCAACTAGGGCTGCAAATGAGCTGAGTCGAGTCGAGTTTTACCCCAGTTTGAGCTCGGCTCGTTAATAAACGAGTCGAGCTCGAGCTCAGCTCATTTATTAACGAGCCGAGTCGAGTCGAGCTCGAGCTAGCTTGTTTATTAAAAATCTTAACTTTTATTTGGTACTTCATTTTGTATATTATGATACATATGATTTATTTTGTTAGTTAATCTCATCTTATACTTTATACTTTGTTGGTATCATATATCGTTTCAGTAATAAATTTTAACTACTCCAAATCATGTTATTTCATTGTATCGAAGCAATCTATGATACATAATTTCTTTTTAAAGTAGAAAATAAGATATATTTGCTCACATACTCAACGTGCAAACCTTTATATATGGTGAGATATATAAATTAACAACCATATGAATTAAAATCATAAGATATAGATTGATTCGTCCATAAGTTGGTAATCGAGTTGGCTCTCTAGCCACATGTTAAAACATATCATGAGCTCTAAACGAGCCAGATCACGAGTTTAGCTCAACAAGCCACCGAGTCGAGCTAGCTTGCGAGCTTCACGAGCTGAACAAAGGTGAGCTTGGGTTCGGCTCGTTTATTAACGAGCCGAATGTCGAACGAGCTTTTCTCGAGTCGAACACCGAACCGCTCGCGAACAGCTCGACTCATTTGCAGCCCTAACGCCAACATTGCATGTAATGCTCTGTAAGGCCCAACGACTATGAGCTCCCACCATCGAGTAGCCTTTCTTCCTCCTTGTCAGGGCGCCCAGCGGGGACCATCCTATGGTCGTACTCTTTTGTCCGCAAGGTCTTTTGTCGCTATGTTCTCTCAAATCCCCCCAAGCCCAGGTCCACTTGTTGGGTCTAGAATATTTATAATTCCCTACATCGGCTTGGCCGCTGTTGGGCTTTTTCCTACATCCACAACTATTTTATTTATTTATTATGTCAACAATATTTAATAACAAAAGTTCTCAATATTTCTCGAGCAACT